ATGTACGTTAAATTCTGTTCCACGGTAAGCAAAGCGTGTCGCGTGGTAGCTAATCTGTCATTAAGGTAAGCCTTACTTGACCCCTGGTTCACAATTTCTCAAATCATTCACCGGTTCCTTGTCTCCCGAACAAATCCTGCCACTTCTCAATGACCATGTCAGGTATCCATTCCATTGGGTTTCTGATGCATCACCTGGAGAGGAAGAAGAGCACGAGCTCTTTCTCTCCTTTGGTATTGCAGTAGAAAAGACTGAGGCTGGTGCAGTAGAAAAGACTGAGCTATCTCTGCCTGCTTGCTCATCCTCTCTATCAGCAGTGTAGAGAATTAGATCATCAAGGCCACTCAGAGAACACACAAGTGAGTGAAAGGGTATTTCCTTGATGTAAGAGCAGCTTGTGACCATGGAGCAAAAACGGTTGAGCCTGGCTGTGTGGCAGAAGGGAAGTACAAGGCTCCGATTCCTCTCATGCCCTTTCTCAATCTTTGCACGGCAGCATCTAGGCTGGACCCCCAATCCTCACTGTAGTGCTGCCCAGAGGGAGACTGCAGGTGAATGGGTGTGAAAGGAAGGAACTGTGTCTTTCAGCAACGGCCACTGCCCTTGTCTACTTCCTCACAAGCTCTCTTTGAGAATCAGCACAGTGGAGATGACTGAGCTACCTCAGCACAATCCCCACCATGGCAATGCCTAGAGAGAAAAGGCAGAAGCTGCTCCAAAGAGGAGTTGTTGTTGTTTAGTCATGTCCGACTCTTCGTGACCCCATGGATCAGAGCACGCCAGGCACTCCTGTCTTCCACTGCTTCCCACAGTTTGGTCAAACTCATGCTGGTAGCTTCGAGAACACTGTCCAACCATCTCGTCCTCTGTCGCCCCTTCTCCTTTGTGCCCTCCATCTTTTCCAACATCAGGGTCTTTTCCAGGGAGCCTTCTCTTTTCACAAGGTGGCCAAGTATTGGAGCCTCAGCTTCAGGATCTGTCCTTCCAGTGAGCACTCAGGGCTGATTTCCTTAAGAATGGAAAGGGGCTACCTTTGAAGGTGACCCGGAAACTGCAATTAATCCAGAATGCGGCAGCTAGACTGGTGACTGGGAGTGGTTGCAGGGACCACATAACACCGATCCTGAGAGATCTGCATTGGCTCCCAGTACGTTTCCGAGCACAATTCAAAATGTTGGTGTTGACCTTTAAAGCCCTAAACTGCCTCGGTCCTGTATACCTGAAGGAGCGTCTCCACCCCCATCGTTCAGCCCGGACACTGAGGTCCAGCACCGAGGGCCTTCTGGCAGTTCCCTCATTGTGAGAAGTGAGGTTATAGGGAACCAGACAGAGGGCCTTCTCGGTAGTGGCGCCCGCCCTGTGGAATGCCCTCCCTTTAGATGTGAAGGAAATAAGCATCTATCCTATCTTTAAAAGATATCTGAAGGCAGCTCTTTTTAGGGAGGTTTTTAATATTTAATGCTGTACTGTTTTTAACATTTGATTGGGAGCCGCCCAGAGTGGCTGGGGAAACTCAGCCAGATGGGCGGGGATATAAATAATAATTTGTTGTTGTTGTTGTTGTTGTTGTTGTTGTACCATATTGCATGGACCAGGCCATTGGGAACCAACATAGTAGGTGTGGTGTCTAATGATTCACATATAGATATCAGTATGTGTATAAACTAGCTGAACTCTTTTTATTGGCAGAACCTGGGAATAATGGACACATAATCTCTGTAGATCTTCCATAAAGAGATTCCAATATTCTTTCTTGCAGAGATGGACATAGCCATGTAATGGTGTACTCCCTCAGGTTTGACAGCTGAGGGATGGTTCTCACAAATATGGTTGATAGCCCTATCCCAGAAAATGTCAAATTCGGTTGGCCAAAAGGAAAACCAATCCTCACAATTTTTATAACATATGGCAACATTCATGGAATATATGCAGTGAGGGGACAGTATGCATAACCACTGAAATCCCATGGCAATATATGGATTAAAACACAGGACAATGAATTGAGCCTCACACAACGTTGTATGTTGTATGTTGTACAACTTTTGGACATCAGTCCTACAAGAAATCTGCAAAATAACAAAACAGGTATCAGAATCAGCTCCAGAACTAGTCCCAGTAAATATCTACCAAGGCAACAATGCACACTCACATTACAAAGAACTCATAAGCCACTTATTTTTAGCATCTAGGAGTGTCTTAACTAGATATTGGAAACCTGTCAGGAGTCGACATGGACCATTGGTACCAAACCATATGAGAAACAGCCCTACTAGAAAAGCTAACCAGCAAATTGAAATTAGCACGGGGACAAACAGAAGAGGATGCCCTCACCCTGGTGCCTCCCCCCTTTATTACATGCTGTATACAGCCCAAACAAGACAATGACCTAACCCTACTGACAGCATACGAATAAATATGGCTAATTTGACCCAATAATCCCCACCCCCTCACAAACAAGACTCACTGCAATCAACTGGATGTAACCAACCATGCTGTGTGCCCTCCAGCCAATTGCACTGTCAACATACATACATACATACATACATACATAAACTATTCATGTGACGCTGCCTCATAATGCCTATGACAGCAGTGTCTCACATTGAATGTAAATGACCTGTGGAAAGGACTCTATGAATTGAAAACAGAGGTGTTATATGTATTCATGGAAAACTTTCAACAAAACAAATTTAAAAATAAAAATAGAATAAAACTTGAAAATTAACTAATCTGTGTAAAACTAATGTGTGTAAAGCCATAAAACAGTTACACAATCCTATCAGGTAAAGTTGTGTGCAGGCAAACTAATGGTGTGACCAGGAAATAAGTGCCTACTTAAACAAATGTTTGAAGTTTGAAGCTAAAAGACAGTGCAACAGAAAAAGCTCCACTTTTATGTTTTAATTGCACTTACCCAACAGGAAAAAGAAAAAGAAAACAAAACCTCCAAGGCAAGGCTTGGGTGATAAGAATGATTGGAAAGCTACAAATTGGTTTCCCCAGTTGCCCAAAGCAACCTTCCAGACTAAAGGGGAATGAATGTAAACAGGGGAATGCCACTTTTTCTGCAATCCTCACACAATGTCCCTGGCTTAAAGCTCTATTAAAAAACAGCAAAAGAGGGGCAGGTTAAAGCAGTCACTCTTGCAGAGCTATGAATTATCTCCTGTGAAAGTGCAAACCCACACATCAAACTATTTATTTAGAGAGCCCCGCCCTTTTTAAACTGTTGTCAAAATAAAAATAAAAACCCCCACAAAGTAATCTTTAGGAATAAATGAGGTTACAGACTCTGCTTAGGTGGAGGACCAAGAAGTACCTATCTGTGCATTAAGGACAAAGAGAGGTGTTAGTTTCTGAAAAGTGCCTCCAAGCACTGATCCTTTGGGCTGTTTTGAGAAATATCTGCTATCTAAATCTCCCTGTCCAGACTAGGTGTCAGAAATGTGATGGATCAGTGAAGGGTTGGGAAACCTCAGGCCCAGGGGTCAAATGTAGCTGTTACGCAGGCTGTTCTGTGGCCCTCGTAACTCTCACCTGGGCATGTCCCTCACTGACTTGGCTTGGCATTCTAAGTGTTCTTGCTGGGTTGGATGTGTCCTGGTTTGAACTCCCAATAACTTCTGCTTGTCTGGATGGAGGACTGAGAGGTGTGTGAATGCATGCAGAAAGCTCACTGTACACAGGTAAAACTTGCATTTGCTGCCCCGCCCACTTTTGCCCTGCCCTGCACATCACCGGCAATGTGGCTTCCCAGATGAGTGTCCAGGTCAATTCTGTGTCCAGGGTGGCTGTCTTCCAGCTCCATCTGGTACACAGGCTGAGACCCTACCTGCCCGTGGACTGTCTCGCCAATGGTATATGTTCTAGTTATATCCCGCTTGGACTGCTACAATGCACTTGAAGGTGACGCGGAAACAACTAATCTAGAATGTGGCAGCTAAACTGATGACTGGGAGTGGCCACTGAGACCATGTAACACCGGTCTTGAAAGACCTACATTGGCTCCCAGTATGTTTTCGAGCACAATTCAAAGTGTTGGTGCTGACCTTTAAATCGCTAAATGGCCTCGGCCCTGTACACCTAAAAGGAGCATCTCCACCCCATTGTTTAGCCCAGACACTGAGGTCCAGTGCCAAGGGCCTTCTGGTGGTTCCCTCACTGTGAGAAGCCAAGTTACAGGGAACCAGACAGAGGGTCTTCTTAGTGGTGCCCTACCATCAGATGTCAAGGAAATAAACCACCACCTGACTTTTAGAAGACATTTGAAGGTTGTCCTGTTGAGGGAAGTTTTAATGCTTGATGTTGCATCGTGTTTTTAATATTCTGTTGCGAGCTGCTGACATTGGCCAGGGAAACCCAGCCAGATGGGCGGGGTAATAATAATAATAATAATAATAATAATAATAATAATAATAATAATAATAATAAAAAACAACATGGTCCTTTGATTGAAAACAGTTGCCCATTCCTGAATTAGTGGGATGCTGTTAAGCCTGGATAGAGAACCAGGCTTCGCAAAAGATATCTGTAACTGTCCTGCCCCACCAGTTTCTCTTTCCCAGCATACTAGAGGGACAGCTCTATAGTCACAGCAGCTGGAATCTGGTCTCAAGACTCTTCAGAAGTATGAAACAGTAGTTTTGAGTGCACCAATGCAGGCACTTGCTTTTAAACAGCCAATATATTTTGGGTGGGGAGGTGGGGAAACAAACAAAGGGTGAGTTTATGGTACAAGAGCAGAATTTTGTGATGGGTACAGATTTTCGTGATCCATAAAAGTCAATTGTTCACACATACCAAAAATTTACCAGCTAGGTTGTTAGCCCTGCATGTCAAGCCTTCAAAGTATAAGGGCAGTTTGGGAGGTGGGGAGAGCCAAATAAAAGCACCCAGTGAGTACTTAAGCCCTATGCAAAACTTCATATGGAAGATTTGTGGATAAAGAGGTTAGAGCAGCTACCCAGTCTTTCCTTAAAAAACAACACCACAATGACACGGACTGTGGTGAAATTAACTTTATTTAGTGTGATACACAGCTGCAGTCTGACAGTCAGTATTCATATTTTTAGAGTCACTTGCTTGGCTAACAGCTAGAAGACAGCAGAGCCAGAGACAGACACTCAGATATTATACACATCCACAGAGAAGGCAGTCAGAAAATGAACTATGCTGTTCACCTTGTGTGTGTCCCCCCCCCCCCGCCTGCCCAACCAACCCCATCCCTCCCCACAAAACATTTAAGTATTTTGTTTTAAAATCCCTATTCTCTGGAAAATACACAGGTTTCTAGTGTGTCTTGAGAGAACACAACAACAGCAGTGACAGGACTGGGCTGCCCGTGAGAAAGGAAGAGTGGCACCAGTTTAACTGCAGAGAGAGAAACAAGTCACACTGACAGGACATCAGCAATTTCCACGCAACAGGGAGTATATATACACAGGATGAGTAGAGGCCTCTACAGTGCCATTTGCTTTCAGAACTGATGGGGCCAAAGTTGCGGGCTTATCTATTCTGCTGGAGAGACTATGGAGGAGCAGGAGAGGGGGGTGGGGGTGGAATCTGTGCAAGAGGTTCCTGCACTCAGCTAAAAGGGTATAAGAGAATGATGAGGAAACCCAAAGCATCATAGAAGTAGCAGATTCTGAGAAGGTTTGCTTTCAGTGGCCAGTCACAGATAAGATTGAGATGAGGACTGTTAAGTTTCACAAAAAAGCCTGACAGATAAATTAAATGCACTTAGCCATTCCAAGCTTTCAAGATGCAGTAAGTGCTGATTTTCTTCCACAAATAAATCAAGACTTTAGCAAGCTGAGTCCTTAGCTTCAAGGCCAAAGGGCGATGTCATATGCTCATCAAGCTCTAAATATGCAAGATGGGGCAAGGAGCCAAGTGTCCATTATGATGCATACAGAGGCCCAATACCCACAATCCTTCTATGTCGATAAGGAGATGGTAGATTGCAGAAACTGGGCAATATACATTTGACTGATGCAGACAGTGACCCAGTTCACATATAACAGGAAGCCAACCTCTGCTGTAGTCAAATGAGCAAATGTGTGGATTCATAGCCACTTTGCTCCTTCTCCAATCTTGCTGCTGGGATAGCTCAGTTGATACAGAATGAGACTCTTAATCTCCGGGTTCAAGATCATGGGTCCAAGCCCCACTTTGGGCAAAAGATTCCTGTATTGCGGGGGTTAGGCTAGATGACCCCCATGGTCCCTTCCAACCCTACAATTCTATGAAGCCATGGTTTGGCTTTGTGTTATATCCAAGCCCAGGCCACTGGTTTATTTTGTCCAGACAATGGTTTACCCACCTGTAGATCGTCTGTGAGAGATAAACCACAAGCCTAGTTTCAGATGCTAACATTAAGCCAAATTACGGCTTAGCTCAAAGCAATGCAGTGGACAGCAGGGCTAGAGGAGCAACCTAGTGGCTGGGATCTTCTGCCTGGGAACCTGCACTTTTTATTAGGTGTATAATGCAACCTGGGCTGTTAAGATGCACATGCAAACTTGCATTCCACCATGTACATCAGACTGCCAAGCATGAGAACCAGACTTAAGTACTATGAATACTCAGAAAAGGTAACTACCATCATCATGGCAGCACAGCACAGTGAAAATAAACTACAGGGGAGAAACAAGACTGTATACTTGTGGAAAACCTGGGTTTTCTTTTGTTATGTGAGGGCAAGTGGGTGTCCCTGCCCAAGGAGTCATGTTTAGGAGAAATTATTAAACACATCCAACCCCCTGCCCCACCCAAGTGATAGTGGAAATTAAGGGTATTCTCCCTTTTGTGGGGAGCAATTTATGTAGAACTTGACAGGTACTTTTGCTGTTGCAACAAAATACTTTAATAAAAACCTTAAAAAATTCAACAGATAAAGGTTTTCCATTATGCAGCATTATCTGAAGGGATAATGCTGTACCGGTTGAATTTCACTCAGCTTACAAGGACAGGAGGCTCTGCTGAAAACAGGGCTGGCAACTCAATTAAGCTAGGAACGTGGAGGGAGGGAGCAAAGCAAAATAGGGATGGAATATATGCTGCTCTTGCTCTTTACCATCCCTCACTCATTTGTAAGAATATAAACTTGGTTTATGGAAGTGTTCACAGGTTATGTTCAGAAGCAACTCCAGCAAAAAGGACCCATATCACTTGCATACACAAGCCTGGCAGGAAGAACTATTGGAGTAAGCATATGACTAGGGCAAGGGTAGTGAGCATGGTACCCTCCAGATTTTGTTCAACTCCCATCAGCCAATGGCCAGGAACAATAGAGTTGCAATCCCCATATCTGGAGGGTACCATGATCTGGGGATTATTATTTGGACAAAACCTCAAGCCAAAACAAAATGGTCCAAAGTACCATCAGAAACAATTACCCAATTAATGTCATTTACTGCGAGCAGTCTCCCAGGTCTGCATGTTAGGGTGGCTTCCACCCAATAAAAGGGGCGGCATTTGTGATAAATCGTAAGTTCAAAGGTCTATAGTTCAAAAGTTTTTATCCTCTGGAAAAGTATGATGCACAGGTGCCTCTTGTGCAGAGCAAGCCAAGCATAAAAAAAAGATTTAAAGGCTATTGCACTGTGAATTAAGTAAAAATGGAACAGCCCTAATATGTGTGGAGTTTGAAAACTGGTCAATAGCAAGATTTTTTTGGGGGGGGGGGCAGAATTAGACCAAAATTGGACCAATTCAAGGAGAAGTGCTATGCCACTTACATTTCGGCTACTCCGGCCCAGTGAAATAAAATAAAATAAATTCAGATAAGGGTCTTTCTCATAGCTAGGCACTGTCTCACCTGAAGGGAGAGTGTACTGCCAATAGTCATCTGTAAAAAATAGCAATAGAGCCATGAAGATAACTGTAAAGTACTTTGCATATTTAAAATGACACATACATTTATAGAAATAGCAGCATTGGGCCAAGTCTAGTATGCAAATCCCTGTTTTAATCTAGCTAGCAACTGTAGAGTTTACAGCTCACCTAGAAACAAACCTTGTTTAGTCCTTGAGAATAAATCCCCAGTCCATCACTTTGCTGCAGCCAGACTTCCCACATAAGGCTCTGCATATTCAGTCTGGTTCTGCCAATCTTCCCTATCCATATTTAAGTGAGCACCACATGCTTGAGAAAAAAAAAGGGTAAGCCAATCTGCAATTAAAAATACCTAGCCACTATGTAAAGATAAATGACAACTTGGAAGTAGATTTCTAATGCCATATTCTGAGCTACCTTCTCCCCTCCCCTTTACTACCTCTCAGGGAATGGAGGAACAAAGATCAAATGGGGAATTAAGTGGGTAGCTATGGCTAACCTACAGGAAGTCAGCAGTGGAGTACACCCGTTGCTTCCCCCATCCTCATATATATGCTGCAACAGCAGGCAAACTGAAGGAGCAACCTCTGGAAAGGGGATGGATAAAAAGCAACAGGAAGTAAGTAAGGGGTGACCCAGCCCCACTAGGTCCTTTGCTGTAGGTTTATCCATGCTTTCCTAAATTGAGAAAAGCTCTGCCCCTTTGCATTCATAGGACGACACAGAAAGGTGAACACGCCCGAGACAGGAAACCTAGAAGATGAGTGCCAGGGCACTCAAAGTGCAACAACCAACATGGGACAGGACACACTTGAGGGTTCACACCATGCAGTAGGAGGGAGCAGCCGGGGCCGTCCGCAGGGCAGGGGGCTCGATAGTTTATTAGACTGAGGTTTCAGCCCTCGGAAAGTCGAAGTTTCTCTAGTCAATGAAAAGTGATGTTCTTCGGCGAGATGGGGCTGGGCAGTTGGGAAGAGGTTGCAACGCAACAGATCCTTTAGCAGGAGCAGCCGCTCTCTGTTACTGGCTGCTCAGGAGGTTTCTCTAGTTTGATGTCAATCACTGGAGGTGGCAGGTTAAGGGGAAAAAAGAACACCCACTATGTAAAACAAGGTGTGGTAAAGAACACAGAGAAAAGCGCAACAATGCGACACTTGGGTCTAGCAAAGCAGATCCAGGAAGTTAAGGGGATCTGCCCTTGCTTTTCCTTCCCACCCCTTGTATTCCAGAAGCATTCGCTTCTCCTCGCTGCCAATAAAGCAGGGACAGGGGAACTTGTTTCTGACCAAGGGTTGCATCACCTCAGTGGAAAAGGGTTGGGGACACATTCCAGAAGTGCCTGGGGCCACACACACCTCTGCCACCCCTTCCAGGCACCTCCTGAGGGCCATATGCTAGTGGCTGCAAATTCAGAGGGGGAAATGGGTGGACCAACAAACATTGCTTTACCTTTGTACAGTAACTAGTTTCCATATATCCTCACATCCCCTCCCTCCATTCTCTAGCACGACAAGCAAGAGGGCAGCATTAGATTTCAAGCTGGGGGTGGAGAAACTTGGTGGGCCAAGTGGAGCAGTGATGGGTGTGGTCTAGGGGTCAGAGAGGGGCCCCAGAGAGCCACTTTTGGCCCCTGGGGCTGAGGTTCTCCACTCCTGCACCACTGGCACACAATAAAATAAGCTCTTGTCAATGCTTTGCAAAGAGCCGCCCTAAAAAGAAACTGTCTTAGGCTTCCCCAGGCCTATACTGAAAGACTGCAGTATGGGATGAAGCTACTGAGAAGCTGAGCAAGGATACTGTCATCTTTGCTTTTCTCTGGAGTGCTGTCCATCCCAGGTAAGGCAGCAGCCACACGGCGGAAGAGCTGGAAGGCAACACAAAGAGAAGGTGCAAGAAAATGTGGTAACTAAAAAAATGCATTAGGGGGAGCACTGGGGCAAGCTTAAGGGATAGAGAAATGTGAATACTGCAATAATTAGTATGAAAAGCAGTGAAGTCAGGATGGAAGCAGCACACTGGTCTTTAAAAAATACTTTGATCATGGAAGCTATGGAATCAAAGGGAAGGAGACGTTAATCCATTCCAATACATCACCACCAAGCAGGGCACACTCAGAATTGGTGGGGAGAGATCTAAATTCCCTCAAGCAAGAGAAATCCCAAATCCCAATATGAATTTTGGTGCTAAAAATGGCAGCACTCCTTCCCAGGAACAGCACCAAGTTACCTGTTTCACATTATAGCCAGTCTTTGCGCTGGTCTCAATGAACATCACACTCAGTTCTTTGGCTCTCTGTTCGACTTCTTCTGTAGTAATTTGCCTGGAAATAATAATGCATACAAGAGAGAAAGAAAGGTAAGGCATTTGTCCTCTGAGGGGAAATTCAGTTGTCAAGGATCCCTCCCTGTCCTATCAACACTACAAGAGGACTCCTGAATCTCTGAACTGCCACCTTCATCAACTCAAGCTTTGGAGCGACCATGAAAAGTTAGAAACTGGGTGCTCGCAAATCACAACAAGCAAAAGCAGGAAAACAAGCAATGCTAGAATCAGAGAGCTTTAATGCCTGCTGCATTTATAGAACCTTAGAGGAAAAAAGTAATAGAAACCTTTTTGGAGGCATTTCTACATCTCACCAAACCAAGTAAAGCCCCATAGCTATGCATGGTGGGCCGGCTAAACCCATTTTTGCTCTACCTGCATGTGATTACAAAACACAAAATGTAAGTCAAAACAGGAAAGCCACAAAACATGGTTAGTTGGCTTAGTTTGGTTAGGTGGGTCACATGTCACATAGAAAGCTATGCCACTGCTGCGTGGGAATTAATAATCTCTAACACCCTGTACATACCTGGTTTTATATAAAATCCTGCTTTATCCCTGGTTTCAATATACATCCTACTCAGTTCTTAGGCCTCTTGCACGCCCTCTTCTACAGAAATGAAAAAAATGTCACAGGAAAGGGGGAGAAAAATCCAAAAGGAAGCAAAAACTAAAAAGGGAATTGGTAGCAATAAACAAACAAACAAAAACAAATGAAGCTTCAAAAGATTGGCCAGCAACAGAAAAGCACACAGCCCCCACAAAATAAAACAATAAGGACAGGTTGCATGTCTGCATGGGTTGCATGAGAGAGGTCTTCATTTTCACCTAAGACTTTCTTTGATTATTATAGTCTCTTAGGCTCATTTCACACAATCCAAAACAGAGTGGAATTGGTGTTTTGATGCCCGTGGGGGATCCAAAACTAGCCTTATACTTCCCTCCCTTTAAAGCTACAATTTCAATGTCTTGTGTAACATAAACCATGGTTTGTAAGGATGTCTAAATGGGGGAACTATTGTTTGTATTTCCCTTCCAAATAGAAAATCATGGTTTAAAGTGGGTTTCAAATTCTGGTTTGGAAAGGAAGGACTAACCATTGCTTGGTGGTTTAGACACTGGAAAAAACATTTGTGTTTCATTAAAGGGGAAATTAAAAACAAAGTTGAATGCTAAGTGGGAGGAGGGAGCAAACAAGGCTGCAGCTTGCTTTTTATCTGCCCAATTTATCCTTTACCTTTAATACAGAAAACACTTACAGATGTAGGAAAAAGCTGAACAAAGAAACCGCAGATGTGAATGTCCCCCTCCCCAAGAATTTATTTATAATTCACATTATTGTAGGAATAAGTTGCTTTCCCTTTATATTAATAGAGCATTTTGCATGCTAAAATGGCTGTAGTAACATCTGTTTGAACAAGTGTAATTGTCAAATGAATTATGATTGCTTGCAACTAAGCAGCACAGATCCTATAAATGGTTAATTCAAGGGGACATGGACAGTACTTTAAAAACTGCTTTCTTAAATCTATGGAGCTCAACATATACTGCATGAATGTGCAGAGATGATAGCAGCGGAAATTAAACTAGACAGGAGACATTCCTAGGAAAATGGTAGAGGTGTAAAAGCTCCCTGACCATTTTGTCTATCCTAATAGGTGTTGCAATACAGGCGACTCTCAACTTATGGGGTTACATTCCAGGGACAGCACATAAAGCCAAAATCGAGTACTGTACAGTCAGAACACTCTCTCCCTGCACCTCTGAAATCTCTCTCAAGGTGAGTGCAATGGCAGGTGGGATTGCCAAAGCTTTTCCTCCCTGCTGCCCACCCCCTTTTATATATGTGTATAAATATGGATATATATTTGCCAAGCACATAAAGCTGAATGTGCACAAGTTTAATGCGCGTAAGTTGTGAGTTACCTGTATTTGCTAGCTGTCCATAGCTGGGGACTCAGCTGATGCTAGTCAAGATCTGCAACTGAAAAGCTGCAAATGATGAGTTTGGAAAACTCAAATTTATACATCTGATTAGGCACCGTATGGGAAGTACTGGCAGGAAAGATGTCCTATGTTAAGTATTTATCTTAGTTATTAAATCTATATCCCACACCTTCCCCCCAAAAAGGAGCCCTCAGTTAACTGATTGAATTATGAGTTGCATTGTATTTAGTGGTATGTTACAAATTATTTCTGCCATGTAGCTGTGCCTTTGTTTTCAAGAACTAACCCCACTTAGATCAACGATCAAAGGAAGAACTGTAATTTTACCTGCTGCCTTATTTCCAGGTTGTGCTAAAGCCATTCAGATTTTTGCTCCAGAGGAAGTTATGAGTTTTTTGTCCTATGTGTACTAGGTCCCTAGCTGGTCAAGGCGGCACCCAAATTTCTCATAAAGAAGTCACAGAGGCATGGGGTTGGCAAAGCAGCTTCTAAAGGCTTAGCAGAATGCCACTGTATTTATTGGTCAATGATAAGAAGCCTCAAAACAAATCTCTCTCAAGGAAGATGTGTTGCTTCCAGAGAATGGTTACAATTTAAAATACAGTGGTGCCTCGCAAGACAAAAAGAATCCGTTCCGCGATTCTTTTCTTCTAGCGGTTTTTTCGTCTTGCGAAGCAACCCCATTGGCAGCTAAGCGGATTAGCGCTATTAGCGATTTAGCGCTATTAGCGGCTTAGCGGGCTTAGCGGCTAAGCTGTTAAAAGGCTATTAACAGCTTAGCGGCTTTGAAAAAGGGGGGGGGAGCGGGGAAAAAATGGCGAGACTCGCAAGACGTTTTCGTCTTGCGAAGCAAGCCCATAGGGAACTTCGTCTTGCGAAGCGCCTCCGTGACGGAAAACCCTTTCGTCTTGCGGGTTTTTTGTCTTGCAAGGCATTCGTCTTGCGGGGCACCAACTGTATCTAAAGAAGCAAGATGTTGGTGCCATCTCAATTAAAGCCACAATTCTACCAGCCTTACATGCTTTTTTTGGATGCATTTAATCCCGTTTCTTCACCCCCAAAAAAGGAGAGATTTTCCTTTGCTTGTTCCTTCCAAAAGCCAGCTAGGAAGCTTTCAAGCATATACGAAAACAAAGGAAACTGACTCCCAACTCCCCCAAATTACCTCTTGTCTGCAAGGTCAGTTTTATTCCCCACCAGCATAATGATGACATCACTTCCTCTTTCTGTTCGCACATCATCAATCCATTTGGAGGTTTGCTGGAAGGAATTCAGATCTGTGGGTGTGGGGGGAAGGCTTAATTAAAAACTTTAAAAAGCACAAAAGCTTTAAAGGCTCTTCTGCAAAAGTAAGGTACTTGCATACCCCATGGACCAGCATGACATACAACGAGCCCAGTTGCTTTATCTTTGGGCAGCCATGACTCGGGGTTCTGTGCTCTGACCCCTCTCTGAGAGGACTGCTTCCATACACCGTGAAACCAATCTCTCACTCACTTGTAATGTCATAGACTACCACTGCAATAGTTGAGTCACGGATGTAGCTGGGAATGAGGCTACGGAACCGCTCCTGGCCTGCTGTGTCCCAAAGCTGAAGTCGGACCTGCTGGTACCAGCCCAGGGAGGGGACAGAGGGAAAAAAGACAGAAGAGGAAGAAATTGTCCTTTAGAGAAAAGGCAGTTAGAAAATGAATTTTATAGAATTGCAATAGATCTCCAAATGCACAGACAACCCAGTAGAAAATGCAGTGCTTAAGATGGAAGGAAAACACAGCAGACTACCCAAGACCTAACTCTTGCTTCTGCAAATAGGACAAATACTCATCAAATGATTCTACCAACCAAGACAGCTAACAATACCAGAGGCACAAAGTGGACTCATTTCTTCCAGTTCAGTAGACTCTTATGACCTCTAAATACTAGTGAACAGGGTATGCGAGTGAGACTTCCTATATATCTTACTCTATGAAAACCAATACATCTGGGCAAGTTCTGCAAGATCTGTAGTTCTGCTGAGAAGTACAGCATAGCTACATTTGGAGAAACTGACATTCTCAATTCTGGGTTCAACTTTCCATTAAGTGTGTGAATGGGGTAAGGTACAAACTGCACAGTGCAGTCATCTGGTTCCTTACAACACCAGCAAGGAAAGGAAGACACTTCCTAAGGGAGGCAAATAGCAACAGAGCTAAATTAAATGGAAGCATTGCCAGTCATACCAAGAATCTCACAACTATCAGCATAGCACAATTCCCTGAGGAGCCCAATGGAGATGGGAGATGCCTTCAGGACAGGCAATGTCCCTTAAAGGTTCATGGAGGAAAGTCGGGATACACATTTAATTAACAAAATCTTTATTTAAAACAATAACAACAACACATAACATAACATACCAGCCCTTCCTCTTGGGAGCTATGTAAAGCAGAAACTGGAACTAGCTATTGGGGCAAAGAGAATAAATTTCAGCTTTGGATTGCATCCAAAGAGATATCATGACTAAGATTACCCCTTCCAGCACCATCATCAACATTAATTGTGACTGGTTAGAGCTGTAACTGTGTCTACAATGAAGACCAAGGAATGAAAAAAGCACCCAGGTGAGTCTACAAATGGAGTTTATGGTACTGCACCCACATTGACAGTTCTGATGGATTGCATGGAACTGATTCAAGGAGAAAGGTTGTCACTGTACCAGAGACAAGAGGAGCCACTTGATTTTATATATTTATTTAAATAACCCCACTTTCCCCATACTAACTGAAGCATTTTATTGCATAAATATACAAGCATCAAACAAAGCAAGTTTCTAAACATGTACACTAACTCCATGAAGCAAATCATTGCAATGTTTACACCAGACTAAGGTGGTCGTAGCAATACAAGGACAGACAAAGCAAGAGCAAGGAGGAGCGGGAGAGAAAGGGTGCAGATGAACTACTGATGGGGGGGCTCCTTTGCCCACTGCCCTAGGCTGAGGGACAAAGTCTGCGGCACAGGGAGTCTCCACCCATAGCTCTCCTCCTTCCTTCACATATATCTCAATGCAGTTGTATTGAAGAGAGGGAAAGTGTCAGCAATCAGCAGGGCCACTGAGTCAGGAAGCCACTATGTGGCCCTGACACATGTGGTCACAGCTGCTGCTAACCCACTGCACAGGAAGATGTTTAGTGAGCTCCCACACAACACAAATAACATGGGCGCAAACCAAGAATCTCCCTACAGGTGTGCAATGGAGTTTGGTCTGCTGTGGTGAATGGGGCACTGTCCCACTAGCCTCAGTGTGGTCTCAAGTCAATCCTCACCTGCCTCCCATCTACTGTTGGCTTCCCACCCTAAGTCCCAAGGAGCACTTGGTGAAAAGGTGTGGCATTTTCAAGGAAGCCAACTTGTCTTTAAGTGAACATGATTTCAGGTTCTATAGCTTCACTAAGGTGAAAGAAAATAGGGAGACACCTTTTTATTGCATTCTCTTCCAATGGAGAATCCTTCAAAATCTTCCTTTTGGAGGTCTATACAAATATTGTTCCCCCCTTTTTTTTAAAAAAAGAAAAAGCTTTCATACAGTGAAAGTTCACTTTCCCAACCAACTCAGCCCATTAGCAGTTATTCCCAAGGATGGCCATCTTTTTGCCTTTCCTGTCACTGTCCACATCAATGCAAAGCAAACAAGACACCACAGGGAAGCTGGAACACACAGAAACTGCAGCTCTGTATGCTGTCACAGAGCTGCGGTTGAGCTGAAAGTGCAGAAATGTTATGTATTCTCTCCTGCCCCACACCCATTTTGACAGACTGCACAGGGAGTGCTGATGTGGAGTCAACTTCCCCTTCAGTGACAGGTTTCCAGGCCCACTGGGAAACTGGCTGGGCACAATCGTCTCCATGCACATGTGCAGTTGGTCATGGAGGAGTGTTGAAATGTACTGCATTGCAAAATCCTTTCCACCACCCCTTTGGGGGTAGGGGCTAAGAAGGTAGTCCTGCTTCTACACTTGGCCTCCTAAATCTCAAGGCTTTTTTCCAAATGATTTTCACTGATATTAACTCTCTTCAAACTCAGGTCCTGTTTAGTACACATGCTCACCGCATATGCACTAGTTCTGTGGCTATTTAAGGTGAAGCCATCATTCCTAATGTAAAGCTTTTACCAGCCATCTTACATATCTGTGCCTTTATGGTTGTAGTTTTAACTGTACTGTTGGAATACATTTGTTTTCTGATGAATGGAGCACACAGATGCTACAGTAAAATAAAAAACCAATAAGTAAATGCAGAAAAATGGCTCAAAAACTCCAGGAGGGAATTATCAGTGGCAGAGGATTAAAGGACCACAAACAATTCTCCAAGTCTTTTTGTAAACTGCTTTGAATCTTTTCAACAAACAAACAATTAAGCAGTGTATAAATTTTATGAAATAAATAATTGATTAATAAACTTCCTAAGCTGGGCCATCAAAAGGTATGGATTAGTTGCTTTCATACAAACTGTGGCAAACAGAAGTACATACTCCTTATACAACACGTGACTTGATGGAATGCACTGCTGGCCAAGGGCACAGAACATGTATGGGGAACCTCTGGCCCTCCAGATGTTGCTGAACTATAATTCCCAACATCCCGTGTCAATTGCCATGCTGGCTTGGGCTGATGGGAAATGAAACCAAAATCACCAGAAGGACATCAGGTTAGGGAAGACTGGGCTATAGTATATGAGATAGCAAAACTGGGCCTAACATTGCCCCTTAAGAGGCTCAAGTAAACTATAGATAAAGATGACAGCCACAGTACTCCATGCTCCAACAGCTTCCAGGCTGGGTTATTGCAATGCACTCTGTGTAGGGCAGCCCTTAAAGATGCCTCAGAAACTTCAGCTGGTCCAAAATGTAGCAGCTAGATTACAGGCTGGGGTTGCCTTTAGAACTCACATAATCAATTTTAAAAACAGCTGCATTGGTCACCCATTCATTTCTGAGTGCAAGTAAGGTGTCCACATTAGTGTTTAAAACCCTAAAAAACTTAAGACCCCAAATATCTAACAGACTGTCTCCTTCCCTATAGGCCCTCTAAGGTATTAAGATCAGTTTCATTGGCCTCAGAAGTCGGAGGTGGTGGTGGTGGTGTGGGAGAGGGCATTCTCTGTGGCAGGTCCTAGGATGTGGAATTCCCTCCCCTCAGAAGTGCATCTGGCACCTTCAATATACAACTTTCATCATCCACTAACGACGCACCTCCTTGCCCTGGCCTCTGACACATGAGATAGGTCTTTTTGGGACACACCATTTCCCTGTGGCTGTGATTTCTGGTAGCTGTTTTTAATGCTGACTGTAGTAAACCTGCCCTGAAATTGTTGGTGAAGGATGGGTAAATAATAAAAACAATAATAATTGCTAGATAGTGGAAACATACTAAATTGCCAGGTGCCAATTTTGGGATTTTAAAATTTATTTATTTATTGCCTTTCTAGGCACTTAATCTGTTTTATTAAAAACGGTATAGCTTTATTGTTATTTGTAACAGGAATTTTCATTTTCGGTATCATATTCTGTAGGGCTACAAAATCTATTATCAGCTGAATATAAATATTTGCCCAATTATAATTTACATACTAAGGAACAGTTAAACAAAAAAAGTGGTGGGCCTTTGCTAGTAACAACGGATTCTATCAGATGATCCTTTACAGGCTTTTGGGTGGTTTTAGTCCTGTCTGCTACCTTACTGAGAAGGACAGAACCAAAGCTCTCTTCTCCACTGTGTACAGTGCCTTTGCAGAGCCTAAGCCACAATACCTACTTGTCAGATCAAAGACAATGACAGCCGCAGCAGAGTCCCGGATGTAGCTGGGAATGAGGCTGCGGAATCTTTCCTGACCGGCTGTGTCCCACAGCTGCAGCCTGATCTGGGAAAACAGAAAATGTGGGGGAAGGGGGGAAGGGAAGAAAGAGCAGGAATGTGGAACACAAAATAAAAACAAAAAAATTATGTGAAATTTAAAAAAAAGAATGCAAACTCTTTGAGGAGAAATGCAAGCAACAAAAGGGGCAGGGGAAATGGTAAAATGAAAAAAAATTCAGTGCAAAATAAAAAGAAGGGCTTGCCCAAGGGTACCTTGCGATCGTAGCTTCTGAATAGATCCCTTTAAATGTGTTAAAACAGCCAGCTTTTACCCACAGTGGAAGCAAAAGAATACAGCAGGTACAAGAAGTGGAGGCCCAAGCTGCCCCAATGGGATTTCTTCTGACACTCAGCCTAATTGTATACCCCCTTATGAAGCCCCACAACAAAGATACAGGTCAAGGGCTCATTAACAGACACACACAGAACATGAAGGCTTCAACAGAGTTCTCAGTGTGCCCTTCAACTACTCCATAGGTGTACTTTGTCTGTGCATCAAGTGAGTTGAATAATAACAGGGAGGAGTCATGCCAAAGCCACAGTTGCTGTCCACACTAGGAAGAAAGAGGTTAAAGGGCATTTTGCCCAAATGTGGTGTCACAGGAACCAGAGGGTGGAGTCAATGCTGCCCATCATTTCTAAGTAGCGTAGTAATAAACGTTAAAGGAATTGTCAGCAACAGCACAGTTTGGCTGGACAGGATTCCGTCTGAGACAAAGAATTAGCTTGAACCAAAGGTTAAGTTTCTGCTTATAGCCATACCCTAACACAATGGTTCCCAAACTTTATTTTCTCACAGACCATTTGAAATTGTCATGGGTCTTGGCAGACCACTGAATTCTTATTCTGCCTGTTGTAGCAATTGCTGTGCAAGATGCCATATAATTTCTAACTGTATTGTTATTTTTTAATTTATTTTTCTTATCCAAATTGTAATACAATAAAATACTATATGAAATATAAAAGAAGCAATAGAATTTTAGAAAAATTATGAATATTTAATATGATGGATGTGCTGACTTGCATCTCCAACCACAAATCCAGAGACTTGCCACAGACCACTCGAATGAAGCTTGTAGACCACTAGCGGTCCATAGACCAGTTTGGAAACCCCTGCACCAACATATAAACACTATCACTCTGAAAATGACCTAAGAAAATTCTTACTTTAACTCCAGGAGACAGAAGCAAGGTAGCACTAGAGGCACAGCCAGTTCAGGCTGAGATGCCAGATAATTCAACAGTTTGCTGTCATAAAATAGAGCCAACATGCTACCCTTATTTCAGTTAGGCTGTAAGAAATCCAGGTTCAATTCCTCATTTGGGTTTTGTACCCATTAGGCTGCTTCTCTCTCAGAGACTAAATTTCCTCTACAGGACTGTTGCAAGTATAAGAAAATGACTATAAGGCATTTTGCACATTTTTAAATTGCAGGAGAAATAATTTTGCCAAAAGAGCCTCTAGCTGCCAGACTGGCCTCCCTCCTGTATCAGAACCAAGGATGTTGCAGCCAATGATTAAAATTCCATAGCCACAATAAAAGTTGGTTCCATGGGACTGAAAGGCAAAAGCACCACATTTTCTCTGTCAAAACTAATCCGCCTTTGCAATTTTGTACACAATCTACCCAGTGATGTGGATTTCAAAGGGCTTCCTCTTTCATTCCCCCCATTTTAAAAAAGCACAATTCTAACCTTGTGATTCAGGGAGAGAAATGCTTGCAGGTTATGGAGGAATGCAATCTGAGCCTACTAAAGACTCCCATATTCAATAAGACACAAAAAGTCGTGACTCTGGGGAAATCGCTTTTCCTCCTGCATGGTACAGTTTGTCACAAATAAAGAGCCACAGCTGGCTTACCCTCCTTTGCCAGAGACCATGATTGGAAGGGGCTGCCAGGGGATTTAGGGCCACTCTTAGAAGGTGAAAGCTGTCAAATACAGCACAAGACAGGACAGCGATCACATACTTTTTCCAGGTTATGCACACAGACGACCCCACTCACCGTGCGATCTTCTAAATACATAGTCTTTGAGAGGAAATCAATTCCAATAGTTGCCTGGAAAAATAAGAAAACTCTCAGTAACTTTGAACTACAACAGACATCTAGTTAAGAGTTGCTGGAAGTCCACAAAAAATCAAGTTCTTGAATCATATACAAAGACAGATCTGTGGTAACCTCAATACTGAACCCATTGGATGAATGATTCCTGTGCAAAATGAATTCTGGAGTTGCTTAATAAAAATAAAATGTAATCTAACAAGTTTTGGTCCTCTTGGACTCTTCTCTTGTGACCCTGTTCATCTGGGAGGGGGAAACTCAGATAAATTAAATAATTTTGGAGGTTGAAGCACAAGGGGGGTATTGCTGTGGAGAATAATTTCCATAGTGCACAAAGCTTTTTAAGTGGGTTGGGAGGCCCAATTATTTAATATATCACCCTGATTACAGGTTATGGAATACATTTACCTCGCTGAGATAGTAGTCTCTGAACATCATGGTGCCTTATGGAAAATGAATTAAGACTTGTTTTGGGATTGCATCTGTATGCTTCAATTCAGCTGAGGCGCAAAATCTATGTGGCAATATCCAATATTGCACAAGCTGATTTACCCTTCTCCACCACCCAGTAGCTCCTTGAATCCCTCTAAATCTGGATGCCAGCCAGAGGGGCTACAGGGGGAAGACAGAAAGGACTTGCACGTGCTGAAGTCCATTCAGCTTCTGGATGGACACAATTAGGTTTCAACCGTTAACTATAGCAGCAACTCTTAAAAGTCAAAGGCAGCATAAAACCATCATCAATAAAAAGCCGAGTGGAACAAATCTGCTTTAAAGTCATAAGAACATAGTAGCCTGCTGGATTGTGCCAGTAGCCCATCTGCCACAGCATACTAGATGGCCAACCAGATGCCTATCAGAAACCTGAAATGATAGGGCATTACACTGTTCCAGGGAGTTCCAAAGATGTGGGGCCAGTACTAAAAAGCCCTATGGCTGGTAACAATCTGATGTTAATAGTGTTGGGTTTGAGAGCAGGGTCTCCAAGGCCAATCTCAGGGCAATGCAGGCTCATGAGGGTGCAGGCAGACATACAAATAACCTGGTCTTAGACCTTTTAAGGTTCCAAAAGCGAAAACCATCACTTTAAACTGAGCCTGGAAAGAAAGAGAAGCAACCAATGCAACTGACACGGGACTAGTGTTGTTATATGCTCATTTTGTAAATTATATGAATTTCTGGAGAAAACTTTTTTTAGGCAGTTCAACTTTGTCTCTGGATAAAACCTAGTGGTAAGCTTCTTATTACAAGGTGTGTAGACATACATCAGTAAGAGCTGTTGCTAAGTCTGCACATCAGTAAGAGCTGTTGCTAAGTCTGGCAGCAAGAGAAAGTTATTTGCAATATATATAGTAGAAACAATGGTCCTAGGCTGTTCAATATGTTTTTATTTGGCTTAAATCTGCTTTTAGGTGTATATATTACACGTGACCCGGAAGTGTCTCTGGACAGCGCTGGCCCCCGGCCTCTTAAGTGAGATGGGCGCATAACCCTAGAGTCGGACACGACTGGCCCGTACGGGCAGGGGTACCTTTACCTTTACCTTATTATTTATAATATTTGGTTGCTTTATGTTGTTTTCAATTTTAAAACTGTAAATGTTCCTTCAGCCTATTCAATAACATTTTCTTTTATCTACTGGCAGCATATAGATGTGTCCAACCAATATCCAGATTACAGACCTCTACAATTTCACTAGTTTCTAAACCTCTCCATGAAAACAGTGCATTTTAAATGTTCTTACGCAGGAAGCTTGACTATGCTCCCACTTACCTGGTACGTGTTGTCAAAACTGTCATACATAAATCTGGTGATCAAGGATGTTTTTCCAACTATAGAAGAGGGGAGAAGAGAAATGGCTCTTTATATATGAAGTGTAGGAGCGGCACTCAAAACACCTGCCCACACACAGAGTCAAGATCTCCAGAATATCATGGCACATTATACTATTCCTTCCTTTTAGAAATCCAGCTAACCTACATAAAGTAGCATGAGATTTTTGGGTCTGCTGCTTTTAGAAGTTGTTGTGCAGACATATTATTTTATTTACACAAGAAGCCCCTTTGTGTACTGGGCACTGTGGGACATATATACAGAAAGCAAACAATAAGCATAGTGATCCATCACAATGTGAATCAAATAAGTATGATCTGTCTGAGGGATGAAATGTGTGGCCTTGTCCCCCTGGGCTGGACACTGTCACCTGCTCTCCTTCTGGATCTGCTCGAGAATGGGTGAGAATGAGAAGAGTGCCTCCCGATATGGTGATCTTCGTCAAGGGCAAAACAGTCCAAACTGTCGCTGTCATAGCTTGTAACTAAGAACTATGCTTGGTCTTGTTTTTCCTTCCTCTCTCCAATATCTTCTTCCTTGTATGTCATTTTTTAAAAGACTGTGAGGCTGAGTACAGAGGTCATATTCCAGCAGCTTATAAAAATAAGTTTTGAGAGCCCTTTTGATGGGATATAAATTTTGCAAATAAATAAATAAGAGTTCTAGAACATTAATGTCAACCCCAATCCTAAACCACTGAAAACCGAGATTGTTCTGTGATACTGCAAAGGTGTGGGTCCATATTTCCCATCCAAAACTTTAATTTAATAGTACAAGTCTTAGCACGGAACAGAAGGCTGGTGGCATACATACACAAGCACGTATTACGAGACCTGCAAACCAACCTCAATTCTACATCGTAGGGCTTAAACGCCATTTCTTCCAACAAACCATATAAAGACTTTAAAATAGCTGAACCAGTTTTAACTAATGCAAGCACAACTATGTTTGTTGTGATAAAAGCAACATATTCCTATAATTTTCATTTTTCTCCACCTTACTACAGCATATACATGATAACAGCCACAAATGTCGCTGACTATATATTCAGTGTTTCAGAATAATTACAAATTCCATCAGTGGACAGAACTGGCATAACACAAATAATTTTATCACATTAAGACAAACCATTAAGATAGGGGTGTTTCTAGGAGGTTCTATATTTATTTCACCATTGATGACTTTGTTAGCTCCCATATCACACTTCAATACATAGGATGTTGGGCATTAGCCAACATTGTAATTCAGAGCACTGGAAAGAAATTTATGTGCAACACTTCCAGCCATGCTCTTAGAAAAAGTGCTTTGAACTTGACTTTATTATTCACACGTAAGTGTCCTAGAAGCTGTCCTCTGGAACAGGATGGATCAATTCACTGGATCAGTTGAGAAGGTAGAAAGTGATGAGCTCACCATTTGGTAAGCTCAACTCTATCAGCCATTAGTATGCCCAAGTGCCAACAAGACACTGTACAACCGAACAGCAAAAGCCATTTCACACAATAAATGTTACCATAGATATGCTGACAAATTCAGCTGTGATATGTCACTTCAATGATAATAATTTTAAAAATTATTTTTATCCTCAAGGATGATGCTCTTAACATTAAAAAGGATTGGGAATTATAAAGTCTTCTACCAAGCAGACCAAAATATTGGTAGCAATGTTAGCTTCAAAAATATATGGTAAAAAGGTATAAGGTGTGGAGGAGTATTGGCAAGTCCTAGAAACTACCTCACTTTGAGTTTCTTTTGCTTGTCCTATGCACATTAATTCAGTAGCATCATGCTCAATGAGACTTACTCCTATTCCATATGATCAACACATTTTAAAGCTTCCCAATCAAAATTCCTAGGATCCCATGGAAATGAGCAGTGGGAGCTTGAGTAAAATCTCTCTCTCTCTCTCTTTTTCACAGAGCATCTTGTAATACTTTCATCTGGGCAACCTGAGTGGTGATGGTAGGTATCATTTCAGGTTTGTGGTGCCACACTTCTCTCATCCTTCCAATACCTCTCCAAAGTCTTGGATGAATGAAGGAATCACAGCAAGGGACATTTAACATAACAAAGTATCATTTGCTCCCATCTGTTTATGCAACTCTAGAGACACTATGTATACTGATGGAGATGTAGTTGTTCAATTACACTAATGATGCCTTAGCCATCTTCATTTCTCCCACCCAAAGGTTTTGTATTTTAAGGAGCATGCATGCATTTGTCATCTTACACAGCTCTTTACTTGAGGAGGGATCCTGGCAGCTTTTTCTCCTACAATTCGACAAGGACCATATAAAATATCAGGATGTATCAGAATCATACAGTCACAAACTTTTGTTTCCTCCTCTTACCCAAATTCTGGAATGTCAAAGCGGTATTTGGGGAGTGGGGACAGCAGAAAGACGGGGGTGGGGCTTGCTTATGGCTTCCTGACAGGGTTTCTGACAAACCACATTAGGCACATACAAATAGCCTCACCAACTACTGCCCACCCAAAGCCCAAAGCAGGAGATCTTCTTATCTAAAATGCTGAGTGGGACCTCATATGTTGTTGCTTATGTAACTCTGCGAAGCACCATGGACAGCAAAACAGCGGCGGCACCTGCTCTGCACTTGAGGGTTCGGCATGTCGAGGAGGGGAGGGAAATTCTGCCCGAGTGTCATCGCCATAGGGTCATCCCTCAGAGATACTCTCCTCACCACCTGCCCGCCCTAAACCCCCGGGGCCCCGCGCTCACCGCTCTGCTCGCCCAGGAAAACCAACTTGAACTTGCGCAGCGGGTTGCCGAACTCGCCGCCGGCTCCTCCGGGCGCCGTCATGGCCAGCGGAGCAGGGCTGGGACTGGGGGAGGAGGAGGAAGAAGAGCGGGATGGATGGGTGTAAGGCTGGAAGGTCGGGACAGGAGCCAGGTGCCAGGGAGAAGGAGCGAGGTAAGGGCAGGAGAAAGAACCGGGCTGCGCCGACCAGAAAGAAGACACGGCAACAGCGGAGCGACACCTGATGGCGTCACTTCCGCTCCGCGGCCGCCCGGCCCCCCCCCCTCCGAGGGACGAGAGAGGGATGAGCTCATCCTGAGCTGCAGGGAGGGGGAGGAGGGGGAAAGAAGAGATACAGGCCGGCTGGAAGAGACCGAGGGTGGCGTCGTGAGATCATCGGGTATGACATCACGGGAGGGCGGGGTTTAAGAGGCCGACGGCGCGGCGGTAACCACAGAGATAGGAAAAGTGTAGAAAGAATCAGCACTTCTTTGCATCTCCATGGGATACAGAATGGTTTAGTTTTTGTAAAATATGCAGGGATTTATGATATTTAAAATGAACCGTGGAAAGAGAAGGGGGGAAGTCACTGATATTTTAAGGATGTTTAAATGAGTATTTTAAAGTGTAAAACAGAAAATTTAATAAATATATATAAAGGGAAAAAAAGAAAAAAAACAGGACTTCCACAGTTATTTGCGTGGGGGGAAGGATTATAAACATAGCACGGAGGTTCTCTTCCGTCCCGTGTTGTTGTTTTAATTTTTATTATTATCACCATCATTTCAATTCTATACCAATTTATGTTTGCTAGAAAGAAAATCTCAAGGCGATTTACAGCCTGCATTAAAACATCAAATAAAACAAGCCAGATTCATGCTGACAAATAAAAGCTTCTCTCATCTGGTGCTATGTAAAGAACGAAAGTTTCATGTCTCTCTCACTTACCCCCTTGGAAACAGAGACCCTGAATGTACTTTTGTTACTTATGGAAAGTCTTTTAATAAAAAATGTCAAGTATTGACTGGCTGGATGAGGAGGAGTGGTGGGAGGCTGGGGAACCCCCAGAGAAGGAAGGCTCAGTGCCAGGGGACTGGTGGAGGGATACCTAGGGGAGGTCAGAGGGAGAGGCCTGGGAGGAAGGGTTGAATGCTGAAGGGGTAACAGAGTTGAATGAGCAGGAAGAGCAGATGATGGGAGCCGTTCAGACTCTGAGGCTGAAGCAGGGGGCGGGGGGGGGGGGGAGGGCAGGCAAGAGCTGCAGAAGAATGCCAGGAGTTTGCCTCTCCTACTGCAACAAGGTTGGGATACATCTGGCAGGGAAGAAGCTGTAGTGGAGGTAGAAGAAGGGGACCGTCAGTCCTGGCAACTGCTCTACGGGGCAAGACCTGCCAATTGTATGCCATTTTCTTGAATAAAGAATTAACTACAATGACAGACTCTGCATCTTGTGTGCTGACCTGCATCTGAACTCAGCTTTGACAAGTATACATTCAAAGCAACATAATTAACAGGAAACTAATACTGTACAGATATTTCGAAAGAAGGTAGTACTAAAGGAAGTCAGATGTAAAATGCACATTTAAAACAACATAATTAGCAAGGGGATAAAATATTATCATAAGCATAGAACAGATCAGCTGCTGTTGCTGCCAGTCTTGCTGCCAGTGGTTCATGGTGGAAGCTCAGGCTGGATGACCCGGGTCTGCCATAAGAGACAGCCCAGATGGTTCCTGGCCTCTTCAGCAGCCTCAGATTTTGTATTATACTGCATTCCATTAAATAAAAAAAACCACCCTAAAGTTTTAATCGTATCTCATGTCCACACATGTGCATATATTTATCGCTTCGACACCTACAACATGCAGTCATTGAAACATGACACTGAATTTTCTTGAAGTAAAGTACCAACAATTAAGATTGCCATGTGTCCTCTTTTTCCAGGACACATCCTCTTTTTCAGCGGTAAAATTTGAGACAAAGTGCATTTATGTTGTTGGGTCCTCTCCAAGCCTATAGTCTACTACAGTGGTACCTCGGGTTAAGAACTTAATTCGTTCTGGAGGTCCCTTCTTAACCTGAAACTGTTCTTAACCTGAAGCACCACTTTAGCTAATGGGGCCTCCCGCTGCGTCACCGCAGCGCGATTTCTGTTCTCATCTTGAAGCAAAATTCTTAACCCGAGATAATATTTCTGGATTAGCGGAGTCTGTAACCTGAAGCGTATGTAACCTGAGGTACCACTGTATCTGCCAAATTGGAGTCTATACTTGATGGAACTGCTGAAGTGGTCAAACCAATTCCTTGGTTAAATCCAAGGCCTAGCCAAGCCTGTAAAGCATCGTTTTTTTACATGTCTAAAGAGTTGGTGAAGTATAGGTGTATTGTCCCTTCTGGGCTTGTCACATGTATACCCAGTCACAAGAATATTGAACATTTGTATATGGGGCGTTGCCAGTAGTATTCTCCTTATTTTTTGCCAATGCCAATTTGTTTCCATACATCTTCCCAATTATTATAACCTAAGAATTTCCCCATGATTATATCAGGTCTGACAAATTATCTGTGCATGCTTTTTGCATAACAGTCTGATGTAAAACCTTTGATATGACTTTTGTATTGTGACATGTCACCCCAACCTCCAGGTGGTGAGAGACTCCAGGGTTTGTGTGCTTACTCGGTATTCTGTTCTCTTTGATGGAAGGTGAACAGACACTGTTGTGTCTGTAACATATAATGTTGTATTTAAACATATATGCATCCTGAGCATAGGATAGAGGGGCTCACAGTGCATTGCTCCTCCATTAGCCACAGCTTTAGGTCCAGCACAAAACAAGGCACATCTGTCCAGCTATCACAGCATCTCTCCTAAAAGGTTTCCCAAGGTCCTATCTTGCCCACTCCCCCTTGTTGTCCCTTTCGGTTCCTTCCCACCTGCATGCAGATAATTGCAACTCAGCTCCTCTCTTTCAAGTTCCCAACAGGACTTCAAAGGAACTAATTGGTTACTAATCTTCCCCGAAAACTCATATCACTCCCACCTCCAGCTTCCTAACATACCCAATCAGTCTACATGTTTAGCAGTGGCCTTGAAATTCAGCTTTAATGTGGTGAGTGGGGAGCTCCAAAGTGAAGGTTTTGGTGATTAGTATACCATTAATGCTGAACTTCTTGTAGCTGACCAGTATTTAGTTGCAATCCTTCATGCAGATCTTTAATACAATATATATATAAGCTAATTATGCTTGTCTGAGAGGTAAAGAAGTGTATGGTAAATTATTGGCGCTAAGGGAGAATTATCTATAGCCTAAAGCTTTGCTCTGTTTAACCAAATAGTCAATAAGTTCTTTTAAAAAAGGATTGTTTATCTTAGTCAAGTGCTGCACTCTAGTGGTTACAAAGGAAAACGCTCAAACTCTATAATCAACTACTGTACAGTATAACTACACTAAATAGAAAGGCAGGAAACTGTCCCTGTTTCCTGTCTTTCCATTTAGTGTAGTTATACTGTAGTTGATTATAGAAATAATCTGCCTAGTTTAGAATGCTTCATAATATAATACAACGTTTGGAATACACAAGCCACCTTCATTTCCTTTAAACCCCCCCCCAAATGCTTAGTGTTTAGTCTAGATTTTTCCCTTGGTGCATAAATAGGCTAAATAAATTCTGCTTAATTTGTCTTTGAGAATGTCTACAGGTAATTCTTAAAATAAAAAAAATAAAAATGGGGGGGGGGTGTAGCATGAAATTTAATAACAGCTATTCTTCCCAAACAGGACAAATTTAATTTTTTCAAACTCAGCCTTAACTTTTCACAATGGCAAATTAAAGTTAAAATTTTAAAGGTTGTTTAAATTCTTAGAGAACTTTATTTTCCAAATAAGTATGGAAAAACCATACTGTTTATTATTGACCCTAGCCCTAGTTTTGCTATTTGCATATAATTGTTTGAAAACCCCTCCTCCAAAATCTCACCTTCAATATTTTGATATTGTATAATTTCCACCAAGAATTTACTTGCAAGTTTATCAAATCTTTGGATGCATCCAATGAGAGGATCAATAATGGAGTTGCATATTTCCTAGCACAGTGTACCAGGCTAAGGGTTTTACAAACTGGCTCAGCAATGTGCCTGTACTTAATGAATCCTGTTTTGTCCAAATTAACATATTGTGGAGCTTTATTGCTTAGAATATTAGTATGCTGACAAATAATGTAGTGTTCTGATACAGAAGGCTTATAAGAATAAACAGACTCAGCACTTTTCTCTGGCATATTATTTTTAACAATTGCCATGTATCAGGAATTTGATTATTGACCAATATATTATTTAAAAAAACATAAGGGGAGCAAACCTCTGCAGAAAGGGTTTTTTTTGGGGGGGGGAGGCAGACGGGGTGGTGGGTTCTCTTCCCCACCCCTTTTGGATGTGTATGCTACTGTTTTATTTCCGTGTTACATATTATTCTCTCTCCTGTGCGCAGACCTCCCCGCAAACAGCAGGAGCGCTCCCGCTGTTTGCGCAGGGTTGCCAGCATGCCGAAGCCTGCGCGCGCTGAGCTTAGCGCGTCCAGCTTCCCGGACCTCCCCGCAAGCAGCGGGAGCGCTCCCGCTGTTTGCGCAGGGTTGCCAGCATGCCGAAGCCTGCGCGCGCTGAGCTTAGCGCGTCCAGCTTCCCGGACCTCCCCGCAAGCAGCGGGAGCGCTCCCGCTGTTTGCGCAGGGTTGCCAGCATGCCGAAGCCTGCGCGCGCTGAGCTCAGCGCGTCCAGGCTTCACGGACCTCCCCACAAGCAGCGGGAGGGCTCCCGCTGTTTGCGCAGGGTTGCCAGCATGCCAAAGCCTGCGCGCGCTGAGCTCAGCGCGTCCAGGCTTCGCGGACCTCCCCGCAAACAGCAGGAGCGCTCCCGCTGTTTGCGCAGGGTTGCCAGCATGCCGAAGCCTGCGCGCGCTGAGCTTAGCGCGTCCAGGCTTCCCGGACTAGTTACTCATCTTATTCTCATCTCGCTGTGTAGTTACCGGTAATGCTGTTCAAAATGATTTGTATTGTTTTGAATATATTTGTATAACTTATTATTATTATTTACTTGTTGACATATGACCCTGTGTGGGAGAGGTGTGGCATCTAGATCGGATGATAATGGCATTTGTAACCCTGCGCAGATGTATGCCTACAAGATTAATGTAAAGGCACTGACACTAGATGAATCCCCTCCTGGAGTAACGCCAGGGCATTTTCCAGGTTGGCAGTTCTTGTCCATGTATAACTGCCTTGTCCTAAACGTGTTATGTGGCTCCGCTGATGTGTGGTTAGGCCTAGTAACTTCCTGCTAGACCTTTACTGCTTTGGTTAGTCCACTTACCTCTTGATGGGAAAAACAACTGTTGGGTTTTTTGACTACGTGCTACTCCGTGCAGCTTCACACAGAGTCAATTAAGAGTTGGCCAAAAGCCAAAGATGACTGAGCAGAGAGGCATTATCTGCCTGGAGATATGGGACCCTGGATATAGCTTTACCATTGGTTGAAGTCTCACACAGGCATATGACTTTTGACCCTTACCGACTGGAGTGTGTGTTGGTTAGTGTGGTGTTCTGAGAGTCGTTTGGAGTTTGTTAAGAGAGAGCTAGTTAAGATCCGTGTTTCTGTTCTTGTATATAGTAACTTGTAGAGTCATATGGTAACTTGTAGAGTCTGCTGTAAATAATAAACACATCCAAGTAACCAAGTTACTAGTAGCAGGCATTTTGTTCCTGCTTCGTCCATCCTGCCTGCAACTGATTGCTTTCTGGAATTCAGTGTATGCTATGCTAAGGTCTGGCTAAGGTCCTGCAACAGGTCAAAGTTGCAAAACACCACCACCAACAACAGAAATTAAACATGAATTGATTGGGTGGGTGGGTGTACCACCTATGGCCGTGTTTTGTGACTAGCGCAGTCAGATCATCCATTTTGCAGCAGTTTCTTCAGATTCCCAAATGTGCTCACAGGCACCAGAAGAGCGGTTTCTTCCAGGTATAGGAGTTAAGTGAGAGGTCAAAGGAGCTGGGAATACTTTTTTTTGTGACTAGCCAGGAAATTGCCTCTATTTCATTGAGATTAACTGAGTTATTGGTACCAATTTATTTCAAAAAGGTGTAAAGTGGCCCAGTCTGCTTATCACGTGTGAAGCATCCCAGTGCAGTTGTAATGTTGGGGTTGTAGCAAGCCGACCACTGAAACAAGAGCGTGGTAATTTGGGGAGCAGGCAAGGAAGTCAGGGAGAATAGGGGTAGGTTTCAAGATGAGTGTGAAAGGAAAATGGGAGAAGGAAATATTACTGGATATCATGGCAGAATGCCAGCATGCATGTTTGAGATTTATGTTTTGTGTGTTGCAGCCTTCTGCCAGTTCAGTTTTGTGTAAGCTGGTATGAGAGGTTGCCCTGTTTATAACCTATTTAAGAGAGCAACCATTCTCCTGGCAGCTTTTGTGAGGCATGGTTAAGACACATACATAGGACTGTGTGAATGGTAGATGGACATGGGACCCATTTAAGAATATTACACAGTGCCACTGACATCCCTGCACAGTGGTTATGGCACAAATATAGTCTCTGGGAAAGCTGGTGCTTCAGGGCAACACTGTCAACAACTGGAGAAAGTGGAAGCATGGGTTCAAAATATACAGCATTGCTTGAGGTTCACATACAAAGGATGACATGCTCCAAAATGCCTGATTTCTGCACATGCCTATGGAAAAGACTAGGGAGGTTTTCATATCCATTCAGTTCACTGTTGAGGCTAATAAGCAAAAGGTTTCAGCTGTTGCCAGCAAATTTGAGGCTTGCTTCACTCCAGAAGAGAATGTGACTTATGAGAGACAAATTATTCACCAGAGCTCAGATGGAAAGGAAACACATTGATCCCTGTTGGTATCCGTGTGTCTCGAGAGACAGTGGGTGCACCTCCAGGATTTAAAGAAGCTTGCACAAACGTGTATGTTTGGAGACTTGTGTGACTCTCACGTAACAGATCTTGTGTGTTTGTGGAGTAAATTCAAACTGGGAGAAGGTTAGGTTGCTAAGAGACACTGATTTTCATTTTCAGGTAAGAAAACTTATGTTTATTAAAGGAAGTACATTCTTGATAGGAAATAACTTCTGTAGTTCTAGCTATCTAGTTGGGGAAACAAAGAAGCCATGCTCGCCCCTTGGTTGTCAGAAGATAAATCCAAAATGACCTCTTGACCCAAGGTTCAGAGAAAGTGTGTGAGGAGAAGCAGTAAGAAGAAGAGGAAGAAGAGTTTGGATTTGATATCCCGCCTTTCACTCCCTTTAAGGAGTTTCAAAGCGGCTAACATTCTCCTTTCCCTTCCTCCCCCACAACAAACACTCTGTGAGGTGAGTGGGGCTGAGAGACTTCAAAGAAGTATGACTGGCCCAAGGTCACCCAGCAGCTGCATGTGGAGGAGCGGAGATGCGAACCCGGTTACCCAGATTACGTGACTACCGCTCTTAACCACTACACAGTAAGTTGTAAGCAGGATCCAACCCAAGACATAGCTGTCTAAACATCAAAGAGAGAGATGTCAGCACAGGGATAAAATTACAGGGGTAGTATGGGAAGCTGCAGGTCTCTCTATCTGCCTTAACCCCAGCTAAGAGACCCCTGACTCTTACTGTAGACATTTGCAGAGCTGAAGCAGCAGCAGCAGCAGTGCAGCACTTGCAACAGCTCACAACTGCAGAAAGGCAAGTGCATGCAATATCAAAGCCCCAGGAGGACAGAGAAAAACACAGTGTCCTGCAAAACCCTCTGCACAGTGTGTGTTGCAAGGATTTGTCAATACTGAATTCAGTCCTCCATATTTCTACAGCAGTTTCTGCATTTTTTTTCTTTAAAATCCTCATGAAAACACTTCAGCATTTTTGTGTGCATATCTCCTAATAAACACATTTTTGCAAACAAATTCCCCATATATAATCCATTCTTGCAGGCCATGTGCACCAATATGTTTATTTTTATGAACACTTTCCTCTAATATAGGCATTTTTGTAAGCATTGTTCGGTTGGTTGGCATAGCAAATGTTGGATAAGTGTAGATTTTGAATAGTACACATGTTTTGGTTAGCATATTGTTTCAGAATGTGTGCATTTGCTAGATTCAGCTTTAAATGCACACTGAATCAAATTCCTTTCCCATCCTTAGGCTTGATCTACCTCACCAGGGCTGGCCCACCTAAGAAGCAAGGCAAAGTGACCACCAGATCTGGCCTCCAAGGAATCAATTGACCACCACCATGGTTGTTGTCAGGGACTGGGCAGAGGAGGAATGGTGGAGATTGCCGCCCCATCCTGACCCTTCCAGGGAGGAGGAAGAGGAAGACAGTATAGCTTTACAACAGGGGTTTGAGGGAGGTAGCAGCTCAGAGGCAGATGAGGGGGAAATCTAGGAAATCATAGGAGGACCAGAACAACACCCAGCTGACACGTTGTCATTAGAAAGCATTCCAGATCCTCCATCTCCCAGAACTCGGCAAGTCTTAAAAGTAGGAGAGCAAAGCGCTCAAAGACAGAGGGCACATAGCAGCACCCACAGAAGTGACGAATGAGGAAGTGGGAGAGACGAGGGGTAGAGATTCACTAGGGACAACATCATTATCCAGGAGACTGGGTTTTATAGCCTCTCTCTGTAAAGATTGAAATAAAAAAGGATGGTAAGAAACTTTCCCCTGTCTTTATACTTTCCTGGGCAACCAGCCGGAAGCCGCTGACAGCATCCTGACAGTGGTAGTGACAGCTGCAGAGGTCAGCAGCAATCATGCTGCCTCTACAGTGGCAAATAGGAGGTGCTGTTGGTCTTCTCCTACCTCTAGGGAGGAAATGGCAGGGGCTTCTCTCTGGGGTCTCCTGGTCTCTGCACATGTCCAGGTGATTCAGAGCGAGCCCATTCCTCCACCCCCAGCAACAGCCTTTGATTCCCAAGTCATGTATCGGGTGAGGTTGGTTTGATTCCCCCTCTTGTTCCCAGTGTTGATCTTTATTCCCCCCTTGTTCCTGATGTAGATCTTAACTCACCCCTTCTTCCATGGCAGAGGTGCCATTTTGTGGTTCACTTCAGGTGGCAAAATGTATTGGGCTGGTTCTGTCTCTCTCTCTCTCACATCCATCCACCCACCCACACCCCACCCCAAAGGAGTATCCAGTATGTTCTGCTTGCCTCTGGGATGCCCTTTGAGGGACCATGGGTTTGCAGCATAAGGAGAAATAGAGAGGAACCTCTATGAGGGTCAACAAAGACAACTTCTGCTAACCTATAAGCAGATAGACACAGGACTGTGATGTAAATCATTTGGCCAGTCAAGAACAAGAAAAGTCATTCTGGTTAATTGTTTGCAATTTTATGTCTTAAAAATGAAATATTCAAAGTACTTTGTCTTTCAAATGTCAACACATTATATAGTAACTTTTACTATTTACAGCAGGGTTGTTGTAATGGTCTTGTAGAAAATACATGCTTCTGGTCTGAAAACCAGAGCAAAATGCAACAAACCATTTCACTGCAGCCATTGAACATAAAACCTGTACAGTTATCCAGCCAGTGTTCAGAGCAGGAATACAAAAAAAGGAAATCTATTGTTCCCTAGCAACAAAGTTCAAGCCGTTATACTACAATTTCAGTAAGTTTAGAAGTGTTGTTGTTAGATAGGAATGGAAAATCTTGGCATACATTGTAAACATCATTACAATTCATGAGAAAGCAAAAACAAAGGAAAAAGACTAGTAATTGACAAAACACTGTATGCTAGGCTTCTCTTCTTGTTTATAGACACCTTGTTTATGAAAGTTTCAATGTTCTGTCATGGTTCATCATCATACATGTGAAATATTGTCAAAGACCTACAGATATACTAATGTTTATTAAGAGGCTAAAGTTCACCACTAAATCTAAGAAAAGATTGTAACTGGCAAACACATTCTCTTGGACAGATAATGTAAAATGGCAAAGGCCAAGAAAATCCCACAACAAAATTGAACTTGAGGACACCCAGTTTCTGTTAAGGTCTCTATAAGCCAGCATTTGGAAGGGCAATGAGTAGGACTGCGGACCACAGAACACGTGAAATCTAACACATTTTGTCATTGTGTGCTAAAAATTGGCTCCAGCTCTTTTGTTTCTCTCTGCTTCTGGTGATTTTGCTATTTCTCCATTACAATCTTCCTTCATACAGCAGCCAACATTATACCTTGAGCATAATTGATGGGGAAAGTGGGATACATTTTTTTCAAAAAAACCTACCCTTTTCAAATGTTGCCCTCTTTCATTTGAAGGGCAGCAGATTACTGCTGGCATGATACTATTCTTTCTCTTTAAACAAAAAACAGCCTTGCTCACCAAAGCCCTAGGTTTCAATCATATCTTAACATGATACGATGGGAAACACACTGCACTTTCTAGTAAGGTTGGAACCATCAACAGGAGATGAACACAAGGATGTATGTTCTTTAGATTGTATTACCAATGTTTTGTGTTTGCATATAACTTTGCAGACTGACCAAAGTGTTCTAATTTGCTGAATGGTGACAGATTTACTGTACTAGTTTTCACTGTCATTAAAAGACAGAATTTAGTTCTGCTGGTAGTGACATTGCTTTGGTGGAATGGTTTAGAAATATCCGGAGGACCGTGTTCCAGATGAAATACAATAGCATGAAGAGCAGGCAAGTCAAGGGTTTCAGCTAGATCACCAGGGTTCTTCCTTACATTGCTAGTCTCTTGTGATGTTGAGGTGACCCCTGTGTGTCTCAAAGGGCAGGGCTGCCGCTGACATAGGCGTGCAGAGAGGAAGATGATTCATGCTCAGCTCAATCTACTAGGGCATAGCTCAGCCTTGAGTTTTCTTGATTTGCCTCCTGCAAGCCTGTGGAACACTGAACACACACCTAGAGGACACTCGCCCTGCAGCAGCACAGAGGTAACTAACCTGTGGCCCTTCAGCTTTTGCTAGACTCCATCATCCCTTATCATTGGGCATGCTGCTGGCTTTGGCTGTTGGCAACATCTGGAGGGCTGCAGGCTCTTTCTACTCCTCATCTACGTACTAAGAATGGCATGCCAGTTGTTTTCAATCCAGATCATTGGCCAGCTTGGCCAATGGTCAAGGATGCTGAGAACTGTAGTCCTAAAAGTTGTGTGGACCCGAGATTGAAGAACACTGATCTAGTCTACAACCTCCAGACTCTACCGCCTCATCCCATCCTCATTCTGCTGAAGGCATCAACCAGATCTGGGAGCCAACAGGCTGCAATGTAATAGATGTTCTCTCTCTTTCTCCACCCACCCTAACTCCTTTATCACAGCAGTTTTATATTTCTATGCAAACTTTTAAAAGCACAGGCATCTTACCAGAAAAAGGGACAATGACAACGTATGAATTTGGTTGCTAGTTGAACCGTTCCCAACTAATCTTTGCTGCTTCCAATCTCATGTCTCCTCCACTGACCATTGTTTCCTCAAGGCTCTAATTCCACCCACTTCCCCCACTGCCTGTGCTCTCATGTCCTTCAGCTACCCTGAAGGACCATGAATCACTGCTGAGCACTCTTGTTTCTCTGCCCTTCCTGGCTTCCAGCCCATATCAACCTTCTGCTCTTTCAACCCAGTATGAGCTTTACATCCCACCCCTAGGGCTGGTGTGATTTTAGGTTAACTCTGCATTTGGGAGTGAGCTTTCTCATCTCATCATCTTAATAGTCATATATGGTGTTATGTTTTTAAATTATTTGTGTATATGGTTAATTAATACTTTGCAAATTAAAAAAGTAGATTAAGGTGAGGTAAGGGAGTGGAAAGGATCTAGCACTCTGTGCTCACGTTTCCCTGTTCTATAGTAACCCCATTATACTTTATATATGACCATTCATAAGTGCACATGGCTGCCGTCATCTTCTCTAATTAAACTTTAGACTTCATTCCATTTGCCACACTTTACACACTGGGGGTCTCAGGGGCCCACTCCTCATTCAGGGCTCATCCGTACATCCACTTGTTCCATGTTTTCTAGGCATGGATCAGAGATGTCTCCCATTTGCCCCTCTGCTTTCCCCAGGGGAAAAATGCTCTTTAGTGCTGAACTGGAGCAAATATCAATCTGCAGAAAACTCCCAGGCCCATGTCTAGAAAGCACAGGACAAGTGGAAGTGTGGACAAGACCTCTGTCTCATTCTCTTGCCGACTACTACCTGAGAGCTAGTGTTCCATTTCAGTGACACCCTAGCTGCCCTCTCCAGGGTTTCAGATTGGAACGGGAGCTTCTGCATGCAAAGCAGACGCTCTACCACTGAACTACAGCTTTCCCTTAAAACAATTAAGTCTCAGCTACAACTACAGGAGTGCATTGATAAGCTCTTGCTCTCCAAGTACCTGCCTCTGCAGCCACATACTGGGGTCAGTTCAAGATGATCTGTTCATTGGGCGTTCATCCTCGTTTGCACAAAGTTTGCAAGGAGGTTATACAATGTCTGCTGTTTACTGAGCGCTTGTGAGGTTATATGATGTTGCATCAAGCAAATGTCATCACACACATTTCAACTGCTCCCCCTCAGAAAGATAAAGATGATGATGATGATGATGATTTTGTAGGGAGCAGGTTTCTTGTGCTTGAGTGCTAAATCTACTTTAATTGTGCAACCTGAATTTGCTGGTTGAATGCCACCTGCAAAACAGTGACTGCCTGGAAGCTGCCGCTGCTTTTCAGTGTGAGTTGCCTCCCCCTACTTTTATTTCACTTCCTTTTGTTATGATGCCAGGCATTATGTTATGATGTCCCTACAGCATTTCCAACTCTCTGCCCCACTTCCTATACATTCTGTTGCCCTGAGGCCCTTTGTAGTTTTCCCACAATTGTCACCCCTTTCCAGTATCTTCTGCCCTCTTTGTTTTCCCTGTCTTCTGTTTCACACCCCAGTCCCTATTTCAGTGTATTCCCTCCCCTTCTCTGCAGCCATTCTTCTCTTCAAGATTCCTATTTCTGAGGTGGTGTTTCTTCAACTAGTTCTCATCTCACTCTCTTTTGTTCTGCCCACTATGCTCTTCCAGTCCTTAAGATGATGTGAGGACAGACAAAACTGGAGGAATGTGAATATTTCATACCTGAGAACTCCCTTCAGCAGATTGAATGTTTGCTAATATTCCAAGGCATCACAATAGTTCAGCCAATAGTAGTCAGAGGCTTTGCCACCACTGCAAGAACACAAAATCTCCTAGCACATCCCATTGTAGACTATTTATTTAATTGCTCATTAGAAAGTCATTTGTGAATTTCCCCCCTACTATTTTTTTTGAAAAAATATGAGGGGTGGGAGCAGGGAGATAAAATTGGCCAAGTGACTGAATACCTGTCTGATATCCAACTTGCCTTCACTGAAGCATGCTTAAAAGGGCCAGTTGGTCTGCTTTTAGCAAGGTTATGCAAGATGGCACTATAACAGAATGTGTTTGTAAGGAGAACGTGGTTTAAAGTAGAATGTAAGTCAGGAGAAGCAACACATTCTGTACATTTTATTCTATGTATATCCTCAACCCATTTCTCCCAGAAATGGCTTGTATGTGCTTTCTGGCAATTGTACTTTCTTTACAAAGGCTGCTCACCACTTGCAGAATGGCAAAATGTCAGTAACTCATCTACATTTCCTTTTGTGCCACATTTTTAGGCACAGATACAGGCTTTCCAGGTCTGTGTCTGAGCAGGTTTTCTTTTTTGTCCCACCACTTTCCCATGGAAAACCCATGTTTTACAGCAAAACGCAATGGGGTTTTCCACAGATTGCCATTTGCTCCGATCCAGCAGTAAAGTGTGGGTTTTCTGGGGGGAAGCAGTGGGACAAAAAGCAAAACAAAAAACCGCTCAGACACAGAGCTGGAAAACCTAGAAAGTGCAGACTAAACGTAAGTGTGGATGAGCCTTAAGCCAGAATGATTCTTTGGATCAGGGTTTCCCAAACTTGGGTCTCCATCTGTTTTTGGAGTACAACTCCCATCACCCCTAGCTAATAGGACCAGTGGTCAGAGATGATGGGAATTGTACTCCAAAATCAACATAAGACCCAAGTTTGGGAAACCCCGTTTTAGACTATGCATTATCTAGGGCAGGGATGGGGACCTTTTTCAGTGTAAGGACCTCACTTAATTCTGAGCAACCTTTCAGGGACCATATGTTAATGGTGGGTTAGGCCGGAGGCAAAAAAATAATAATAAATGGACAGGGCAATTAATACAAATTTGTATCTTTGTAGGGCAGTAGTTTCTGCACACTCCTCTCCATCCAGGTGAGCAAGAGACATTATCAGTTTTCAAGGATACATCCCAGCCATGCAAAAACACTCAAGGAGGGTGTGGTGTAAGGCTGGTGAGGATGATAACCTGGGGTTATAAGGGTTCAAGGGCTATAAGAGAGATGCTTGGAGGTCTGCATTTGGCCACTTGAGCCTGAGGTTCACCACTGCTGGTCTGCATTCTATACAACTACATCCTTCTTAAGATTTCAAAAAAGCTACAGTCTGGAAGCACCCAAAACATGTTGCTTTAAAGTGAAATCTATTCAGATGTTCTACACAATCACCATTCATTCCTATGTACAGGATTTGCACAGAAGCTGAGCTTGGAGGGCTGCGTCCTTGACCTCAAAGTGGAAAAATAACAGGGTTTTTTTCCCTGAATTTCAGAAGCAAACATGATAAAAACATTTCTATATACCATCATCCTCTGGTGGCATGATTATTTAATTATTATTTTTCTAATCCACATTTTATATCAAACAATACCTATAAACACACCTAGGAAATTCTGTTCATTCATTGGTAAACGCCAAAGAGGAAAAAAAAGTATTCCATTTCATTTTATGAGCTTTTGGCATAATAACAAAAATGACAACATTCAAGGCAGCATTAAAACCCATCCATGGTTGGTAATATAAAGTGCATTTCCTGCATATAATACAAATATATCTATATGGAACTCAAGGCACACACTAACGTCATACGTATTACATACTAGAAATGCACAATTTCAAGCTAATAACTATTTAAGAAGAGTTTCAAAACATTTTCTTCCCTTCTGGGTATTTTAAAGCATTTTGTTTTAAAAGGTACATCAATTCACGAGCCTCAAATGATAGAACTGCTTAAAACATTGCTAGTGTTGACATCTTAGATCAGTGCTAAAATATATCACCATGAGTGCACTTCTTACATAAAGCCCAGAAATTATTTCTGTGAATTAAAAAGTGCTTGTCAATTTTAGCCTGGTGTGTGGAGGTACTAAAATTCTCCACAATTTCATGGGGAATAACCCCCAGGTCAGAGCTAGCAATACAAGAACAAGGTACAATACTAATTATTTTGTCTGATCTCATTAACTGGATCCAATGGTGTACAGTATTTTATACCATAAAAGAACCTAAAGGAGAGTGAATTTTCCTCTGAGGCACCCTCCCCCTCCCTCTTTCCCTCCCTCCCTCCCAGATCCTACCTCCAGTGGTCAAAGATGAAGAACATCCAGAATCTGGACCACTAACGAGCAACAAGTAGGGAGAACTCAAATGTCAATGTTATTTGGTGGATTTATACCTGATGTTCATAATCAAGCCCATCCCTAACAGCTAGTTGTCACATATACCCAATATGAACTAGCTTGGGAATATAGGAGCAATGAATATTAGGATATTAACTCTCATGAACAGGCATTGTGATTAGTACTTGCTTAGTGAGGACAAATTATTAAGCACCTGCTTTCCTTGCTAAAAAAAATACATCCACTCATCTGGGCCCATTTGTATGACCAAGTTGACATTCCTGCGGTTTATTGCTGATTTTTTTGCTTTTGATATTAACTGTGTATTTTACTTCTTTGTGGTTCCCTTATGTTTTCTAAACTGCTTTGGGTGGCAGTGAAAGTGGATTCTAAATGCCATCATAAAGAAATAAAATGAATGAGAAGTTGCATGAAAAAATGGGCAAATATTGGTGAATTCAAAAAACTGGTTGAGTTGGACTGTACATCTGAGGGAGCAAGTGCATGGTCACTTCATCATGATATGCCAGACTCTCCACAATCAGGCTTTCCCATCTTTCAGCATTCCCATTTGTCATATGAAGAGGCCCTGAAGTCTACACTAAGACTGTCCTTCATTCTTTTATTTCAGAAGAGTGCCAGTGTGGTTGTATTCACTTTGATGAAACTTCTCACTTAAATTGAAAATCACTACCTTCTACCATTGATGCTGATGGGAATTGCTAATGGCCAAGCCTGCAATCCTAAGCATGTCTACTCAGAAGTAAACACCGCTGAATTTAGTGGCGCTTGCTCCCACCAGGTATGTGTGATTAGGATTGTAGACCAAATGTGCTTATAATGCATGGCCTAAATCTAAACTTGTGAAAGACACAAAAACATAAGGTTGATAAACCAGCCACCAGTAACCTGGATGTCACTCAAGGGACTTCTCCATTCAGCTGGAAGAATCCTTTCCTCATCCTCCCCACCCTCAGCACAATTTTTAGCTGGAAAAAGCCTCCTATGGGAGCGAATAGGAAGCATTTTTTCTAGCCTAATTGTGGCCCAGGGAATTGCAAGTGAGAATGGATGCTATGAATGGTATCTCCCTTGCTAAAAGCACCTCTCCCACACTGCTTGAGAACTGGTGTCAGTGGTAGACTTTTCAAGTCCAACTGATGCATGGAGGACCAGGATCTTCATGGAAAATATAGCTACTAGGATGTTGCAGGAGAACAAAATCTCCTCCTCTCCAGCTGCAATCTCCATGAAGATCACCATCCCCACCTGGCAATTTATCTTGAGAAAAGATAAAATGCTTTATATTCAAGACGAATTGCTGGGGGTGGGGAAGGAGAGAGAGAGTCTGCACGTGTGTGTGTGTGTGTGTGTGTGTGTGTGTGTGTGTGTGCGCGCTCTGTGTGTGATAGAGTGAGCTCAGGGTGGCCACACACATTCTTCTTTTGGCTCCTACTTCAAAGCTGGCAAATTTGCAATAGGAATGTTAGATGAAGTGGCATCTCTATCCGTGCTTCACCATTTAGTATCCTCTGAGTTGGCAAGCAAAAGGGCATCTTCTCTCAGGTCTGTGAACATGACTGTTATCACTGCTGAGATTCCTGAAATCTGGCTTGCCACTTTTTAACTGCCCACAGAGTGAAACAATTTGTCCTATAAGGCAATGACTAACAATGGTTTATCTGCAATTTATTAAGAAGGTCATGGCTGACAACACCCTACCTCTGAGGTGTGAAGTATAGAGGGCTGGTTTTCTACTTGGCTCAAAGTATTTTGGGGTGTTTCTTATACCCTGGAGTTATGCCTGAAGGCCCCTTAAAAGCATAGCTTGTGCAGACTGCTTGATGGATGAGTTGTCAGTTAGACCAAGGAACAAAGGGTGTTGGCCAGACCACAAACATATTGTATGCAAGTTATTAAAATTAACAAAACTGTGTCCTGAAGAGGGAAAGAGAGAACACACTCAATATTTTGCCCATGTGAACCATTTCCAAATGAAATTCAACACCAAGAACGCCGCTTCCAAATGTTGAAGGCAGCCACCCTAGAACTAACAATCATTGCCATCTCCCAAAGAGTTTTAAACAAACGATATTAAAATACCATCTTCTGTCACATTTAAAGGCAGTTGGATATGTTTTCCCCCTCTATATTTATATATACACAGAGTTCTGATCTAGAAAAACCAATACAATAAACCTTTACTTTAATGTTTTTTTTAAAAACAGGCAGTCTTTGGTGATGCAAAGGCAGAGATCGATGTCTTTTGTTTGTTTGTTACCTCCTGCCTATTTCACTCTGTCTCATAAAGTGAATATTGTTGGCACTGTCAGAAAGTTCTAGATACTGCTCCACAGACAAAACAAAATATCCATCATAGCCCTGTACTTTCCCTGTGCTTAAAAGCTGCTGTTTCTCCCCCTCTGTCCAAGCCCGAATACCTTCTTCACCATCTTGGAGTCGCCTTTGTTCCTTAGTCCAAGCTTGAGCCACAGCTCTCTGTCTGGCAACCTCCAAGACATGGTTCTTCTCTTCTTCCACAGTAGTCCCGTACCGAACATTAAAGCACAGAGAGCCGTGCTGGAGCTGGATATCAGCAAACCGTCTAGTCCTGCCATTGATGATGGAAGTCATTTGTGATACTGTGACGTTAACACCGTTCTCCAAAATCCGACGTCCCCCAGTGTTGCCTATCACTGCAAGGTCTTCTTCCAGAGACCCAAGCTTGATGAAGTAGTGTGTGTCTCGCCCATCTATTGTAAAGTGCAGGTCCTCAAGATAGTGAGCATTGTTGAGGATGGCAGCGATGCGGCGGCTGTCTTCATTCGCCACCCCAATCACATCAGCTGTTACCACGCCATCCTTGATGGCAAATTTGATACCTTTCCCAAAAACTGAGGGAACTGCAGCAAATCTGGGCAGCTTTGCTTTCTCCACACATCTTCCATTGCTGTATTTGGGGGTCATGGGAAGCTGGTCCAAGGAAATGAAGTTTCTGAGCTGCTTCTGTAGTTCACACTGAATGCCAAGTATAGTCTGGAAAAGAGAAGATGCATGGCATATGAAGGTAAGGTTTTTGGAGTTGCTAGAGAAACATACAATATGTTTCTATTGTAACAACGTAACCTGGTTCACACTTCACTTTAAACCATAGTTATCTAATGGTTAAAGGTTAATGTGCAAGGTACACGTTGCACATGACGGGATGCGGGTGGCGCTGTGGTTTAATCTACAGAGCCTAGGGCTTGCCGATCTGAAGTTCAGCGGTTCGAATCCCCGCGACGGGGTGAGCTCCCGTTGCTCGGTCCCTGCTCCTGCCAACCTAGCAGTTCAAAAGCACATCAAAGTGCAAGTAGATAAATAAGTACTGCTCCGGCGGGAAGGTAAACGGCGTTTCCGTGCGCTGCTCTGGTTCGCCAGAAGCGGCTTAGTCATGCTGGCCACATGACCCAGAAGCTGTACGCCGGCTCCCTCGGCCAGTAAAGTGAGATGAGGGCCGCAACCCCAGAGTCGCGACTGAACCTAACAGTCAGGGGTCCCTTTATCTTTACAGTGGTACCTCGGGTTAAGAACTTAATTTGTTCTGGAGGTCTGTTCCTAACCTGAAGCACCACTTTAGCTAATGGGGCCTCCTGCTGCTGCTGCGCCGCTGCTGCGCAATTTCTGTTCTCATCCTGAAGCAAAGTTCTTAATCCGAGGTAATATTTCTGGGTTAGCGGAGTCTGTAACCTGAAGCGTATGTAACCCGAGGTACCACTGTACTGGTGCACATGGCTAAAGTTGTGGGTCCTTCACAATCCTCCCTGCCCCTGCTGCCACACTTCCAGGAAGTGTTGCAGAATTCCAGCAATACTTCAGGGCATGCACTTCATGAGAAAATAGCATAATGGGATAAATCAGGGTTTGAAGCTGCACTGTAAGAACAGAGGCAGCTGAGGACTCATCCACACCATTTGTCCTGCACTTTCTAGGCACAGCTTTGTGGTTTAAACTGCTGTGTTCATGTGGTTTCTGTTTGCCCCAGTGCTTTCCTTGAGAAACCCACTCTTTAACACTGAACCAGAACAAACCACAATTCAGGTTTTCCGCTGATCAGTGTTTGCTCAGATTCAGAGGTAAATAGTGTGTGTTTGCAGGGAAAATGCCACAGGGCAAAACAAAAAAGTGCTCAGACATCACACTTTAAAGTGGGGACTTGTGCCTAGCAATGCAGCACAAAATGAAATCTGGATCAGCTCTGATTCTACTTCTCTTTGCCTCTCAGGTACCCTCTAGTGCATGGGTAGGCAAACTAAGGTCCGGTGGCCCAATCGCCTTCTAAAACAGGCCTGCGGACAGTCTGGGAATCAGCGTGTTTTTACATGAGTAGACTGTGTCCTTTTATATAAAAAGCATCTCTGGGTTTTTTGTGGGACCTGCCTGGTTTTTTCACATGAGTAAAATGTTTGCTTTTATTTAAAATGCATCTTTGGGTTATTTGTGGGGCATAGGAATTTGTTCATCCCCCCCCAATATATAGTCCAGCCCCCCACAAGGTCTGAGGGACAGTGGACCAGCCCCCTGTTGAAAAAGTTTGCTGACCCCTGCTCTAGTAGTTGTCTTACAAGATCACGATTTGCATGTGGACATTTACAGATCTGTGCAGCAATACCTTTTGTTACGTGCCATTGACTTGCACATTTTCAACTATATGTGGTTGAAGATGGGCTGGTTGGAATTGTGTAAGTCTAATGCCAAGCAAGGTGCTCTTTGTGCCAGGTCCACCTAGGGGGCACCTGGCATGAGAATAGTGTTGTTGTTGTTGTTGTTATTTGCATTTGTTAGCTGCTTTATCTTGCCCAGGGAAACCCAAAGCAACTTACAACCAAATAACCAAACAGGCACCCACCCACCCCGCTCACAAAGCAACATTGAAAACAAGAGGAAAAAAGAAGAAATGCATGAAAAAATACCCCACCCACTTCTAAAAGGCCACAGGTAGTTAAAGGCAAAAGGGCTGGTTATAAAGTTTTTGTCTGGCTCTCCACCTTGCTTGCCAGGCAAGACCCACTCAGTGCGCCAGCTCTGAACGGTTCTCACGAGATCTTGTGAGGCAGCTGAGTTCCAGCAAGATCAGTTTTCCAGAGCTGGCATGCTGAGCAGTGGCGTAGCGTGGGTTGTCAGCACCCGGGGCAAGGCAAGTAATTTGTGCCCCCTAACCCGTGGATTTGCGCCTCCTAACCCGTGGATTTGCGCCCCCTAACCCTAACCCCCAGATGTTGCGCCTGGTGCGGCCGCCCCCCCTGCACCCCCCACGCTATGTCACTGGTGCTGAGCACCATGCCTTGTGCCCCAAGCAAGGCAGAAAGCTCGAAAGTTCTTTTCACACTGGGTTACCCATCATGAAAAGAGCTTTTAAGCTCTCCACCTTGCTTGGGGGGTGGGAGGGGAAGGGGAAGGCCCGCTCAGCATGGTGGCATTGAGATGCTGCTGCAAGATTTCACAAGACAATCCTCCCCCCCCCCCCCCGCAAGATCTGATGAGAGCATTCCAGAGCCTTCTAGAGCTCAAATCAGAATGAATGCTCAATAAACAGTGGAAATCAAATAACATCCATATTATTTTGTGCAAACAAATCAGGATGGATGCTTAATAAAAAAGGCTGTCAGCAGAGGTCCTTGTCTTCTCTTCCCTCTGAATGGAGAATAAAGTGATCCCATAGGTTACAGAACTAGGATATATCTGTTTTAGAGTAAGTGACATAATAAAGTTACTACAGTGGTACCTCGGGTTACATACGCTTCAGGTTACAGACTCCGCTAACCCAGAAATAGTACCTCAGGTTAAGAACTTTGCTTCAGGATGAGAACAGAAATTGTGCCCCGGCGGCGTGGCAGCAGCAAGAGGCCCCATTAGCTAAAGTGGTGCTTCAGGTTTAAGAACAGTTTCAGGTTAAGAACGGACCTCCGGAACGAATTAATTACGTAACCAGAGGTACCACTGTATGAGATTGTGGAGCTTAAGGGAGGAAAATGTTTTGCCCCTGATGGTGCCTGGGGCACCTTGGATCATGGGGAGCCTGCACCCCTGCCCACCAACATAAACACCAAGGGTGGGGTGAGGAAAGAGGAAAATAAATATGTATCCTGTTTCCCCCCTAGAATTCACATAATGCAGGAATGTGTCTTTTTGCTAACCTTTCCAGGGTCCCACTCTTGGGTCTTTGTTTGAAGCTGTACAAGTTCATATGTTGTCTCCATAGCATCCACTTCTGGCTTTGGGAATCCCGGGAGTACATTGTGAAGCTGAAACCCAAACAACTCAAGCCAACTTCCAATGTCTACAAATAAAACCAAACAGAATACGATTAACATGCTGAAGTCAAGAAGTACTGTATGACAATCATAGAAAAAACAAATAGGGCTGCCATACGTCTGGAATTTCCTGGACACAGCCGGGATTTGGCCCTCGTAAACAGCGCCTTACATGTCTGGGAAAATCCGGATATATGGCAACCCATGTTGGCGGTGTAGATTTGGGTGAATTTCCTTTAAAAAAGCTAGGTTGAGATTTTTGCAACTTTGGCTACAACTTTTGGCTACAAAAAAGTTCAACCACTTTTGTGTCCGGATTTTCACTTTTTGAAACCCTACAACTATAGAAAAAAGAGATTCAAGTCTTAAAGAATAATATTCCAAGCCTCTTCCTTCTTTGGCTGCTCAGATATGAATCAAAATGTGCTGTAGACAAGGTGACAGGGTGGAATATTCAGAAGTGTTGCATTTCCCATAGCGGAATGATATCTGGAATTATATTGCAACTTGTGGCCGTGTACAAATATAAGGTCATATGTGTTTTAAACGCCTGCTGAAAACTTTTCCATTCCACTACGTCTATGCAGGCATATGTATATTTCCACAATGGTTAATTGATGTCTGTTTTTAACTTTTCTATATGTTTTTACTGTATGGTTTTATGCATTTTTATTTTAAATTGTTTTGCTTTATTTTTATGAAATAGCAGTCTATAAATATTTTTTATAAATGAGCAACCCAAAAAAGAGTAATTTTGAATGGAAAAATAACAGTGGGGAGAAGAGGTGCTTAACCCTTTTCTACATAGATGGCTTGCAAGGATAAGCATGTATCTGGAAGCTCAGGGGAGAGGGAGGGAAGCAGCTTGTTAGCAGCAATCTGAAGTGGGAAAATTGGTGGCAAGGAGTGGTCAGGCACACTCTTCCACTGCTGATTCTCCACATCAAATCACCTGCTCCTGAAGTTGCTTTCATTTAATTCTTGAAAAGTGGCTGTTGAAAGATGTGTTACATTTTCATGTAACTTTCATGTTAGGTCACATAGAGCTGTATCATGGGAGAAGTGGAGTGACAGGTACAGGATAAAAAATGTAGGCGGCAACCTGCATTTGGTGGAAGCAATTCTGTTTCCATCGCACTGCCCAGCTCTGACCAAAACTACCTTATTCATCTCCCTGTCTGCTGTTCTGGAATTTTATGTAATATATTACACAATAATTCTGTTATTCCACACCATTCATTTCAATGCAAATGGGGGCCAGGAATGTAATCGATTACGTATCACTTGCAGATTGAAAACAACAGCAGCAAACAAGGGTGAAACTTGAAAAAAAATATTGTGGGGTCCAGGTAAGCACCACCCTGCATAATCAATTATATGACGCAGTGCATACGCACCATTTGAAAAGGAATGTCCATTAATATTGTGGGGGCCCAGCCCCCTCAAATGTTTACTGTGGGGGGCTAAAGCCCCCATGGCCCCTAGGAGCTGGAAAATATGAATTGTATAAACGGGATTGGTTTCCATTCTGGATGGAAAATACGAATTGTATGAACTGGATTGATTTTTCTGCCTGCTATAGCAACTGCAATTCTATAAAATTCAAATTGCAATACAGTAAAACCTGATTTAAGAAAGAAAAGAAGCAATATGATCAATATGAGTATTTAATGCACTGGATTTCCCATTTCCCATCCTGAACCACAAACCACCTGAATGAAGATTATGGACCACAGTTTGGGAACCCCTGGTCTTCCCCCAGGTAGGCAATAAAATGGGGAAGAACATGCCTGCATACTGCCTTAAATACCTGGGATATTCAGTGAAATATGACTTTAGTTTGGTATACTGGTTTGCTGTTGATATTTCATTCTGCAACGCTGCATTGCTTTTTTCATTTTTCTGCTCCCCCCTTACCTTCTTTTCCGGTATCTACATGTTTTTGCATGTAACAAAAATTCAATTAAAAGTTTAATAAAAAAAAAACCTGGAAGGAAAGGTGGTATAAGAAGCTCCATTCCAGCTATGTTAATGATTTCTAGTTTTAAAACTTTTATGCAGTAATTTTTTGTGCTGTAATCTTTTATAGTTTGTGTTGTGTGATTTCAGAGGAAAGCCTTGCTCTTGCCCCCTGCTGTTCATTGTTAAAGGCCTCTGGCTATACAAATTAAATTGACTGATTTCTTAATTCATTTTGTTTCAAAATTAATCAGAGATCCAATGAAACTGTTTACAGAAATTGTCTGAACATATTCACAAGATCCACTGTCATAAAAGCACTGGGGGAGCCTTTTCTAGCCTGAGGGAAGTGTTCCATTCCAGGGACCACATGTCAGGCCTGGACAGGGCCAGAGGCAAAAGTGGGCGGAGCAACAGAGGTAACATTTACATTGGGTGCCACTGTGGGTTAAACCACAGAGCCTAGGGCTTGCTGATCAGAAGGTCGGCTGTTCGAATCCCCGTGACGGGGTGAGCTCCTATTGCTCAGTCCCTGCTCCTGCCAACCTAGCAGTTCGAAAGCACATCAAAGTGCAAGTAAATAAATAGGTTCCGCTCCAGTGGGAAGGTAAACGGCGTTTCCGTGCGCTGCTCTGGTTCGCCAGAAGTGGCTTAGTCATGCTGGCCACATGACCCGGAAGCTGTACACTGGCTCCCTCGGCCCAGAAAGCGAGATGAGCACCACAACCCCAGAGTCGGCCACAACTGGACCTAATGGTCAGGGGTCCCTTTACCTTTTTACACTAAGGTAGTTTTCACACACTCTTTCTCTCACACCCCTTTCCTAGCTATATCCAGGCGGACTAGAGACTTTGTAAGAGTTCAAGGACATATTCTAGTCAGGCAAAAATACTTTCATTATTTATTATTTATTTCATAAAATTTAAAGAAAACCGTTTGATTGCAATAAGCCGTTTACAAAAAAAGACAGCAAAAAATAATAATAATAAATTACAGCCCTACTTTAAAACATGCAAAAGGAAAAACAAACAAACCTAAAACTAAAGCAGATTATAAAATGACCTCAACTTTCGAAGCATCTGGACAGGCTAGCAAGAATGTTTTTAGCAGGCGCCGAAAAGAGTAAAGTGGAGGTGCCTGCTTGGTCTCAAGAGGCAGGGAGTTCCAAAGTACAGGTGGCACCGCACGAAACAACTGAGTTCTTACAAATGCGGAATGAGCATTAAGTGGCACTTGCAGCAGTGCCAATGCCACCAATCCAGGTGGTTGAGTGGATACATGTGGGGTAAAGTGATCTTGTAGGTAAAGTGGTCCCAAGTTGTCATATACTAAAAGTACCGTATTTTTCGCCCCATAGGGTGCACCTAGTTTTTTGGGGGGGAAATAAAGAAAAAAAATTATTTTCCTCCCAGGCGCGGGGCTGGGGGGGCATCCAGAACAGGCTGCTATCCACAAGCCTAGGGAGCCCGGCGGGAAGTTGCACCGGTCTCCCCAGGCTTGCAGATATCTGCCCAAAGCCCGGGGCGCGCTTTGGGATGCAGGTAGCTCTCCACATGCCGTGGGAGACCAGTGCGACTTCCCGCCGGTTTCCCCAGGCTTCCAGAGAGCTGCCCAAAGCCTGGAGAGCGAGAGGGGCCGGTGCGCACTGACCCCTCTCGCTCTCCAGGCTTCAACGAAAGCCTGCATTCGCCCCATAGGACGCACACACATTTCCCCTTCATTTTTGGAGGGGGAAAAGTGTGTCCTATGGGGCGAAAAATACGGTAACACCTTGAACTTCTGTGCATGAAACAGGCTCAGTGGTTTGCGTGTTCTGCAGAGAGTTCCAAAGGCCATACAGAGAGGTTTAGAGGATCCTCTTTAGCTCCTGGGCCTTAGGTTACGCACTCCTGTCATTAAAATTTGAACCAGAAACTACCCTCCCCCACAACCCAATTAAATAAATGCTTTACCTGTTGTGTATTTAGCCACATCTTGAATTCTGCCAGCTGGATAATTATTTTCAAATGCATACAGATTAAATGGCTTGGGGTTGTTCTTCAGTTCTTCCCAGATATGGTGGTTTGGTGTTGTCCAGCGCCCAGCGATGACGTCATAATCTCTTTGCCCCAAGTGCACCAGTTTTAGTGAGTGAATCATACAACCCTCCATGGAAACCTATAATGAGCTCAAAATCTGAATTTGTGTCCTGATAGATCTCTCCATAAGGGGTGTAAAGAATTTCTTTTATCACTTGACCTCGACTGCTGAAGATAGCTAAAGGTGTGCCAGTGTTGTCACAGCAACGTAATATTCTTCTCCACTGCTTAATTCCATGGCTATTAGGTGACCCTGAAGGTCGTAATACAAGGAAGTTATTTCTGAACTGCTGTGATTGTATAAGTGAGTAACTCTTACTGGATTGGAAAGGTCCGCGTAGAAGAATTGGAGGTGTTGTCCTGAACTTGATTTGCTGGCCACCCTTCGCCCCAGCCCATCGTAGCAATACTGGATTGTCCACCCAGAAACCCTGTTGTAGGCTCTGTTCAGAAAGCCATTAGAGGTGTACTCAAAGATGTCATTTCCTCTTTGTTTGAGGAAAACCATCCTCGTCCATTTGTACTGAATGTCCCCCAGCCTTGTGATACGATCTCTGAGATCGTACCTCAGAGGAGTAAGCGAGCGCTGTTTCCGTGGCTAAGTAAATTGATATTTCCATTGAGGTCATAGCTGTAACGCCACTGGGTTTTGTCATTCACAGACACAGTTTGAAGTTGGCTATCAGCATCATATTCATAAGAGTATCTTGTTATGTTTGCATCGACTCCAACTCGGATGTCGCAAATCACCATGCGGCCCATGTTGTCATACTGAACGGTCATCCAGTAGGCAATGGATTTAAGGATTTCGTATTGCACTTCAATCACTTGGCCATTGGCACTAAAAATTTGGTATGCTTCATAGCAGTGGTAGTTATAACTTGGTTTAAGTCGTAATTGATTACGCTGAACTTTCCGAATTGTTCAGTTTTACCAGACACATCAACGTAGCGATACAGATCAATAGGGAGAGGGGTTTCATTTATCAT